TAGCACAGTGCCTGGCACATAGTAGGTACTTAGTAAATGTTTATTGATTGACTGACCTGACCTGTCTGGTGCTTAGCACAGTGCCTGGCACACAACAGGTCCTTAGCAAGTTCACTGTTTCTCCTAGCTGCTGTTGCTTCACTGCCCCCACCCCCATGAGCTTGTGTGTACATAGACACACAATTATCTATGCATATCAATGTACATAACGTTTAAACTATTGATATTATCAATTGACATGGCAGATATATCAATTAGTTTGACAGTGTTGTCAAATTACCATGTGATGTTATCCCTCCATTTGTGGGGATGGGAGGGGTGGGGGGTGAAGAGCCTGACTAGGATCATTTTGTGGGATGGTTTTTTTGAGCTGTTGCTTTTTTTTTTTTCAGGCGTGTGTGTGGGGGTGAAGAGCTGGGATGCTTGTGTGTCATCTACCCATAACATCTGTCCTTGCCATTACACGGATGTGGCCTTCTGACCGAGCCCAAGTTTTACAGAATGAATCCTTTTATTAAGGGGATTTGCTCTGCGAAGTTTGGATTCAGTCAAAGGTCCACACTTGAGGACCTAGAGGGCCACGTGTGGCCTCCAGGCCCCAGGTTCCCCACCCCTGGTTGGGTCTGTTGAATGCATGTCATCCGACCAACGGTGGCATCTGTAATGCTGGTGATGGGCTGCAAGGTGGGCCACGTGACATTACACATTACCAGTAAGGCTTCCACCCCCACCCCAGTTCCCATGTAGAGGTGTCAACCTCTATGCCTGGCTCAACCCCTTTGCTCATCGGAAAGTTCTGAGAAGCTGCATTTCCGGTGCAGCGTAAGCTCCCTGAAGGCAGGCTGTGTTTCATTTGTCTTTGGAAGCCCCACACCTTATACAGGGCCTAGAGCAAAGAGCTCCGATTTTATTGGCCCAGGGAACTCCCAGGTGAGGCAACTTCCTCCACCAATATAGGTTGGCATCTTCTCTGCAAGTTTTAGAAAACTGCTCTGGTATGTGACGGGGTCAGGGAGACTTGAACCCAGGTGTTTCTGGATCCAAGCCCAGCTCTCTATCCACTGCTGCTCCCGTGCCTGGCATATAGCACTTGCTTAATGAAAGTGATGTAAAAATGAGACGTTAATAAAAAATTCAAAGAGATATAAATGCCTAGTTCTATGGACATTTGTATGTTGTACTGTAGTCGACTATAAAAACTTAACATAAAGCTGCTTAAAAAGTGATGTTTTAAGGCATGGGATGGCTGGAATATTGGAATGAAACCTTCAAAAGAACCTCCCCAATAAGGAATGAATCACAAAGAGGGCAGGAGGCAGCCGTGGATCTGTCTTGGCCCTTTGAGGGAGGACACAATGTGCCCCCCAAGCCCACGTCAAAGCACTTGATCAGGTCGGGTCAACATGAAGCTTCCTTCCCTTCTTGGGGTCTGAAAACAGCCTCCATATTCAATCACACAATGGACATAGATCTGTAACAGGCAACAGCGGGGAAAGGGAATGGTTTGGGATGGAGGCCGACGGTGGGCTGACTTCCTTGAGTGGAGTCCACTCAACACCCTCCAACGCCTCCATGCATGGGCTGTGGGACCAGGTGGAGTATGGGGGCTGTGGAAGGAGGCTCCTGGCATTCTGAAAGTGATGGGGGCAGGTGGGGTTGGCATTGGGCACAAGGATTAAACCACAGAACCCTCGTGACCGCACAAAGCTGGGGTGTGTGCGTGTGCGTTTGTGCATGCACATGCATGTGTATGCGTGATTCCCTATACATGTACAAAGGGATAAGGAAGCCCCTATCAGTCATAACTAGGGCTGGGCAATGTGGCAAGCAGGGCACTGGAATTTTTTAGGGCAAAAGCTTAACATGTGCATTCCTTCATATAGCTGGAAGTCACTATAGTAACTAATTCCTTCCCCTGCTTGACTGGATTAATCTTAATTACTTCCTGCTTCACATCATGAATCACAAAGCTGATTTGAGGGTCTTCTTTTCTCGGGCACATTTCCTGCCGCTTGTGGAGGCAGGGGACAAAATTCCTAGCTGGGGCTCTGGCCCCCGTGCAAGGCCCATGTGCCACCTTGGGGGAGGGCGAGCGTCCTGCCTCTGGTGGTTTAGATTGGCTTATTGGGGCGCTGCTTGGGAAGACCAATCACCCCATTCACACACATGGCCAAGGCCTTAGGGCTGGAGAGGACAAAGTCTCTGGAAAAGGGGATCAGCTGAGGCACCATCTCTTACCCCAGGTCTTCCCAGATTCAGCACTATGAATCCTCTCCCAAATAACTACGTGTGTGTGTGTGTGTGTGTGTGTGTGTGTGTGTATGAAGATGGTCTACCACCCCCCCCCCCAGCAGAGAAGGGCACAGACTGTATCATTTTTGTCCATCTCCAGCCGAGCAGATCTTTAGCTGCTTAAGAAATGCTTTTTGGACTGAAGAACTTTAAGAGACACAACCCAACACCTTATTCCTCGCGCAGTTCAGTTTTTTTGGTCCTGGGACTGCCAGGCTGTTCTCTGGCTTCATCCAGCTTCTGTCTTCCTTCCCAAGGCACAAGTCTAGAAGAAAACCCTCAGTGAAGGCCTTACCTGTCTGTAAGAAGCTTCCAGGAGTCTTCTTCCAAGGCTGGGCGATGTCAGTGCTGTAAAAGGTCCCTGTGCTCGACTCCCACAGCGGCTTCAGGGGCTCACAGGCTCACGGAAGCTTTCTCCCTCTCCCTCCATTCTTGAAATCTTCCCCCCACCCCTGCCTTATAGGTCCTGGAAACACACCCTATGGGCAAGGAGGGACCCACAGCTGAGCTGGGGGTGTGACAACTGCTTCCTCTTTTTCCTCATCCCAGGGATACCCATTCCCTTCCTAGTACATATACTCCCTTATTTCACTAAGCCAGCCTGAGGCTGGAGGTCAGAGCATTGACACAGTAAGGCAGAGGGATGGATACTTTGGCCTTGGGGCTCCTGGGTGTCCCAAAGATTGGCCAGAAGGGCACTTTGCCAAAATCCCTTCTGTGACCCAGTCCTGGAAGGGGACACATCATCTGATGCAACAAAACTCAACCTCTTCCATGGTCTTCCCAGCTCCACTCAGCAGGGAAGAGACAGATTTCATTCACTGTCTTAATATGCCCAGTGCCTGGGAAACAGTAGCATTTTTGCTAGTTAGATGTCAGGGGAGCAGTTTGGGGAATGAGACTCAAGTGGGGTGGCAGACTGGGCATGGGCCAACTCCAAGGCCATGGGGCAAACTCCCCGGGTCAGTGGCCTGGAGACAAGATTGCCCCCCACTACTTGGGGCAGCTCTCCAAGGTCCCCAACTTCCATACTGCAATGAGGAGCTGTCTTGGGAAGGTGGGGGGCTCTGCTCCCTCTGACTTGCCCTCTGGGGTCCCTTGGCACTCCATCAAACCTCTTCCCAAGATGCAAAGTCCATAAATGCTGGGCACTTGTTGGGAAAGATGGAGCCAAGAAAAATGGGTTATTTGGGCCATGGAGCGAGAATGGATCACAGCACCTGTAACTGGAAAGGCCCTTAGAGACCTGTGAGTGTCACAGGAGGTACTTCTAACATGCTCTGTAAATCTCAAAGTGCTGTATAAATGCTGTTACTATTTCATTCTTTTAAAGATGGGGAAACTGAGGGCCAAGGGATGGGGATTGGTTCTAAGCCCAGTGTGTTCTGCCCACCAAGCCACCACGAGGCCAGGGCTCGCGTCTGTGTACCACGGCTGTTCCTGATGCCTGGGATCTTCTCCCTCCTCACGCCGGAAGTCAACAGCACCCCCCATTCACCCCAAATACCTAGGGTGTTCTCCTGGGAGAAATGTCAGCCCTTTGAGGGTAGGGGCCCTGGCCCTTGTTGGACCGAACTGAATTGAACTAAACCGAGAATATTTTCTGCATAGGTGGGTGGGGAGGGGGAGGGGAGGTATGCAATGGAAAAGGACATTTAAGAACATGACAAACCATGGAACACATCTGGACGCTGGGAAAAAACAAAACAAAACAAAACAAAAAAACCAAAAAACCACGATCTGTTTGGGGCTTTGAGACTGGAGCTGGAGGAATGTGATTAAACAATGTTTATCGTGGGACAATGCGACTTTTTTCTCAGATACTCTATCCAAACGTTGGCAGGCCGAGGAGCCCCCAAGGCCCGGAAGCCGTCCTTGGCTCACTCGCTCTCTGGGGCACGGGCAAAAGCCACCGCAGTCTCCGCGGCCGCCCCTTATCCCCCCCATCCCGTCCCCCTCCACCCTTTTTATTTCCAGAGCAAAGTATCAGAGTCCTTTCACAAATGTTAACTGGCAGATATGATCCAACGTCTGATATATTATGGAATGAAAAAAATGTAAAAAAAAGATGTCATCACACATGGAAATACAACAGAACCAGTTCACGTGTCTTGTGAATTTCGGGGATTCCCCTTCCCCTCCCCCCACCCTTGCTGCCACCCCCCTGAACTCATCTGGGAAGCTCCCTGGACACCGGGGAGCTCCGAGGCCGAGCAAACCTCTTTAACTAGAATAGGACTTGCTTTCTTTTTCAATCATGAACAATACTGGTAACTGCGGATGGTGCCCTGCCTTGAAGTAAGCGCCTTCTGAATGATGGGGGAAGGATGAGCTACTTGCCCATGGAAATACCACTCAATGGGATGATGGGTTAAGCCTGCACACGCTTTTTTTTTTTCTTTTTTTTTTTTTTTTTGCAGTAAAAGCAGAGACCGAAAGCAGCCTGTAATACTGTTTAGTCATTCCTCACGTAAAACATCTGAAATAATTCACTGAAGGTATCAAAAATATACCCTGTAGACCAATACATCATTTACAACTGCCTTTCCTTCCCACCGTTTCAGCAACGATGTCCGAAAATCAGTCTACTCTCTGCAGAGCAGCGGCGGCGGTGGCGGCGGCGGCGACGGGCGGCCCGCCTGCGACTTTCCTATCCTCTGGGGTCAGGTGCACGGACACACGGGTGCTCCGTCTTCCCCTGCTTGCCAGCTGCCCCCACACGGCCTGATACTCACTTCCCAGGCCTGCATTTTGGCACTGGGCTTCCCGAGGCTGAGTTTTATTTAGCGAAGGCGATCTTCATTAGATCCAGAGGGGGAGAGCGTGAAGGATGGCCAGGGCCCAGAGTCCATGGATGGGATCTCGAAGCGGCGATGGTGGCGGGCTCTGGGAGAATCCAGGAGCTGTGGGTGAGTCGAGCCTGCTGACATGGACTGAACTTTGGTTCTGAATGCCACAAGGAATCAGTGGAGCCGGTGTTTCATCCCAGACTGGGAGGAAATTCTTTTTTTGGGGGGGGGGGAGGGGGAGGGAATAGACAGAGTTGGTTTGCTGGTTGACACTGGGAAAGGAGGGGGTTAAGAGGCGGCAACAACAGAGCGAATGACCATCCCACTTCAAGTACCGGATCCCCGGCCACTCCGTCGTGCCAGTGCAGCCTGTGGGTGTCTGTCCCGTCCATGTTCACCCTCCCTCTCAGCCTACCCCCCCCTGCCGTGACACGCACTGCATTCAGACACAGATGTCGAGCCTTTCCCACTCCCCCTGCCCCTCCCCAGTCTGAAGAGGAGGCGTGGAGCACCAGGTGGTATTGTTCCCCTGAGAAAGTCAATTCAATTCATGGGTTGGTGGCCTCCCATGGACCAGACAGAGACCGTGAGCACAGCAGGGAGGCAGAGGGGAGAGATTTCCTTCTCAGTGGGGCTTTGGATGCAGTGCTGGGAGGGGGGGGAGCTCCCCCCACCCCCACTGCCAGCGCCTCTCTTACCAGCTGGGATTTCTGCCCTCGTGGCAATGGGGGTTTGTTAAGGCTTTGGGCCGAAGAGGACACAGGGCCTCCAGATGGACAGATGCAGACAGACTCGGGGTGCTCCTTCCTGTACCCTTGGGGGAACTGGAGTGGGGTGGATCTTTTTTGGGAGGGAGAGGAAGGTGGTCGAGCAGCTCCCTTCTCGATGTCCACCAAACCAGCTGGCGTTGGCCGTCTCCTGCCACGGCGACCCATCCTCTCCCCATCCAGCCCTGGCTCCCCCTTCACTCGCTGTCTGAGAGGGTTTCGTACTGTGAACAGAGCAGGGGCTTGGGCTCCTCATCCCAGGCGTGGTGCTGGCTGCTGGAGTTGCCTTGTGGAATGGCTGTGGGGGGCGAGGGAGCGATGACGTTTGTGGGGAGCCTCATGATGAGCGGGTTGTAGGGGAACGGCGTGGAACCTGGAGGGGAGGGGGCCAGGGCGGAGGGAACAGAGACGTACAGGTAGGTGAGGGGAGAAGAGGTCAGACAGGGGGGAGGGGGACTGACAGGGAAGGAGGGGGACACAGACAGACCCTCAGCCAAGACGAGCCTTCTTGCTTCCTGACCTCACCCTCCAGAGCAGCCCAGACTGGAGCAGGACCCCCGGGACTCCTGACCTCCAAGGGCCCTGCTCAGTCTGGCGAGCCTTCGGATGCTGTCTTCCCAGCGTGCCATTCCGAGGGCAAAGACCGAGATCCACCGAGTCAGGGGAGTTATGACAGAAAGAGTGGGCCTGGGGTAGCTAGGTGGTGCAGTGGATAGTGCGCCAGGGTCAGATTCGAGAGGACTCGAGTTCAAATCCAGAGCTGCGTGACCCTGGGCAAGTCACTTGACCTCAATTGCCTTAAAACACAAAACTCCAAACCAACCCCCGGTTACGAAGCTCTGGGCAAGAGAGCTGCAGTGGAAAGAGTACTGGGCTGGAATGCTTCAGAAACCTACTATCTACAGGACTGCGAGCCTCCTGGCCTCGATGGCCTCATCTGTAAAACGAGGGGCCTGATCTCACTGACCCTAAGTCTCTGATCCCGTGATCTCCCTTCTCTGAGCCTCAGTTTTCTCATCTGCAAAAAAGGGTACAATTCGGTCCATCTGTGAGGAAGGCCCTTGAGGAGTCTCTGAGTGATACAGAAAGGGGGGTTACTGTCACCTGCCTTCTCTCAGAGGCCCCACCCAGCCTGGCACAGCACTGGGCACACAGTAGGTACATGGTCACTACTGCCCCTTTGGAGGGGTCTTTTTAAGGGAGTATTTACTCTGTTGCTTTCTAGTGGTGACTGGCGTAGGAGAGCTGGGGGGGACCTTGGAGAATACGGAATTGAAATCCTTACTTTACAGATGAGGAAACTGAGGCAGAGGGTGATTGGCTGCTCCTGGATTTCTCAGGATCTTCCAATGGCATATCATGATTATTAATAACAATTAATGTTATTAATGCCGCTCACAATAGCAGACCTGAATATAGTATCAGAAGGCTTACAAAGTGCTTTTCCTTTTTTTCTTTGGTGAGGCAATCAGGGTTAAGTGACTTGCCCAAGGTCACACAGCTATTAAGTGTCAAGTGTCTGAGGCTGGATGTGAACTCTGGTCCTCCTGACTCCAGGCCTCTATCCACTGTGTCACCTAGCTGCCCCACAAAGTGCTTTTCTTATAACAACTTTGCGTACCAAGTGGCACAGGCATTACTGTCTCCATATTTTTTGGTACTAGACCTGTGATTTCATTAGTGTAGCGGAAACTCCCCCCATCATGCAGTTCAGCCTGGCGCCAAGATGGGGAGGGACTAGGCCTATAGTGTCAGAGCTTGAGATTTGAACACGGGTCCCTCCTGACCTCAAACCGTCTTTACCTTTGCTGTGATGCCCTGGCCCAGGGCTGGGCTGGTCGGGAAGACGTATATCTTATCACCCTCACATGGCACCAATGGTCCTGACAACGATGTCAGAAGGGGCAAGCCCTTCCTGGTGCGGGAGCAGCCAGAGCCGCTCGTTAGGACTGGGCCTCCTTTGTCCCTAGAGCTGGTAGGACTCACAGCCGTCGGAGACTCGTCAAGCTGCGGCCAATGCCTCACCCTCCCTCTCACTCCCAGCTAGGCCGCCCCCTTACCTGCAGAGGAGGGTCGGTCTTCCCACACCCGGTTGGTGAGTGGGGTCCTGCGGTTACAGTCCCCTTCCGAATGGACAGAGGAGACAGACGCCGGCCGCTCCCCCGAGGACAGCCCCGGAGCTGGGGACTTGGCCTTGCTTCTGTTGGGCCGGCTAGAAACCTTTGGTTTCCCTCCACCTCCTGCAGGGAGACATGGGCATCCGTGTTTCTGGGACGCACAGACCAGCAACGGACCGGGGAGCTGTCATAAGGAACCCCAGCTCAGGCCCAGCCTTCCAGCGCTGGCCTGCCCTCGCCCCTCCCACCCATCTCAAAGGGATCCGGGTGGCATCTAGAGAATCCATTGTCCCTTGAGGGAAGGGCAGTAGAGAAGGCTCTGCTCCCATCTGGACCTGGCATCTTCAGGGATGGCCCCTGGGGGGGGGGCGGGGGAGGGAATGCTGGTGGGAAATGGGGCTGCTTTTCTGTTTGGCCCCTGGCTCCATCAGGGGAACGGTAGCAGCCGGCTGGATCCCCGGACCCTAAGCCAAGGTTCTCTCACACCTCAGAGTCTGCCTGCGGTGTGACTGGGGACAGATGGGCAGAGGGGTCCCCAGCGCTGAAAAGCTCCTCCCTATTCTCCACATGAGTGGTGAGTATTAACATGCGAGGCTCTGGGCTGAAGGAGCCGGGGGGAGGAAGGCGAAGGGATTCCCTGCTTTTCTTTTGCCAAGTCTGGGGCACCGAGGGGCTGGGGAGAGAGCGATGGGCTGAGAGTTGGCAAGGCCTGGGCTCAAATCCCACCTCAGGCACTTAGTAGCTGTGGGACCCTGATGGGAGGGTGTGTGCGTGTGTGGGGAGAGGCAGCAGAAGCGTGGGCTGAAATAAGCGGTGTGAGAGAGGGCTACACGCAAGGGGACGACCCCCAGGACCTGGGCCAGGGGGCAGGATTCGGGGTGGGGGCCGTGCTGCTTGGCTGACCGGAGAGTCACAGATCCAGAGCTTGTAGGGACAGCCCCTCGAGTCCAGCCCCCCTCAATTTATGAAGGAGAAAGCTGCCAGCCAGAGAGGTGAGGGGACGGAGGCAGCACCGGAACTCTGGGCCCCTGGCTCAGATCGAGTCCGCTGCCCGGTGCTGCCCAGGGGCCTTCCCTCACTGGGCCTCTCTGAGGGCCAGAGGAGACAGCCGCGGCGCCCCATTAACGTGGGTGGTGGCTGTTACTGTGACGGTCGGCCCCACATGGCCATCCTGGGCATTCTCTCTGCTCTTCAGGCTGACTGCGGCCAGCAGCAGTGCAGGCGCAGAGCTCGGGAGGGCAGAGGGGACCCTGCTGAAGATGGTGCTCGGGGGCGCGGGGGAGGGGCGCTACACACATTCTGCACAATGAACAATTCCTGATGTGACCTGGGTCGAGAGATGAATTTGGCTCCTGTGAACGGAGAGGGTTGGTAACAGGCCCTCCACTGAGAGTCCTGACCCTGCCATAGCCTGGCTGTGCCGCTCCCTGGGTCTCTCTCTGGCTTCCTAACAAGACAGGAGGGGGCTGCAGTCCTCGCCCGCCCACCGTGTGAAGATCAGACACACCAACAAAGAGACCGGACAGATGGGAGCAATCTGGCCTCCGCTCTGACTGGGCGGGGGCCGGAGGGGGAAGTGACGCCTTCCATGGCCAACCACAGCCCAGGCAGACGCGGAGGTGGGCAACAGCCAACCCATCCGTGGCGGGTCCAGGCAGGGCAGAGAGGGAGACCTCCTGACGGACAGCAGAGAATATTCAGATGGGCCCCATGAGGCCCATTCCTGAGCCTTGAACCCAAGAGGCGGGTGCTCGATAAATCATACAGCTACACCTCCAAGGGACCCTGGAGGCCAATCCAGCACTGCCCTTTTGTTTTACAGAAGGGGAAACTGAGGCCAGGGAGTGTAAAGAGACTTGTCCCAAACAGAGATGAGATTTGAACCCAAGTCTGCAGTAATCTGTTGGCCCATGTAATAAATGGTACTGACCACTGGACGATGGGCTCCATCCCGGCAGGGCCTCTATCTCTTCTAGATTTCCCCAGGGCCCGGCATGGGCTCACCCCAGGCAGTATCTCAGCTCTCAGAGGCCATTAAGTCTAATCCCCTCATTTGGCAGAAAAGGAAACTGAGGCCCAAGAGGGGATCTGAACCCAAATCTCCTGCCTCCCAACTCCAGGTTTCTTCCTGTGTATGGTATGGAATCTTAGCATCTCGGGGCTAGACGGGGCCTCACAGGTCATCTAATCCAACAAGTTTCTCCTCCTCCTCATCATGCCAAAGATTCAGAGCTGGAAGCGTCCCCAGGGACCACAGCTGAGACCCAGAGACTCAGGTGGCTTGCCAGAGTCACACAGCCAGCTAGCACGTGTTGGGGGTGGGAACCCAGGTCTTCCTGACTTCAAGGCTGACTGTCTCACCACTAAGCCACACTCTGCTTCTCTTCTCCCCCTCAGGAGAAGGCACCTAATTTTCAACCCCTGCTTTAAGAATCTAAGCCAAGGGGCCTCTGGGCATCCCCAACCAGTGACCTGCACCTCGGGTGGGAGGATGGGGAAGGGGGGGGGATGGGAACAGCTTTGTGAGTATTTTAGAGAAAAGCAGCAGCATCTTCCGCCCTCCTTGAAATGGGGGCAGGTGGGCAGGACCCCAGGACGACGAGAAAATCAGTACCAGCATGAGATCAGCAGATTCCAAAAACAAACATAAAAATACTTTTAAATTAAAAGAAAAAACAAACCAAAAAACAAAACCACACACAGAGTAAAAGCTCAAAGCTCAAAGGGGAAGAAATCCAAACACGCAGGAGGAATTAATCACAAGGAAATGAAGGGATGGCTGGACGGACAAACGGCGGAAGGTGGAAAGGCCTGCAGACCTGGCGAGATGAGCGGGTGGTCATTCCGTCCGTCAGCAGCAGTTATGGGCATAGCAGCGGGCAGGCTCGCACTGGCATTCAGAGGGTTAAAAGCATTGGCACTGAGAGGTGACCGGTCTTCCCACTGATCATCATATTTACCCATTAGGGCCCGCCTAATTATTGCTTCCAACCCCATGTTGGTGCTCGCGTGCTCCTGAACCGACTGGCTTCTACAAGTCATAAGGCCTGGGAGAGAGGAAAGAGAAGAGGGGACGGGAGGGAAGGGGAGGGGAGACAGACAGGGGAGGGAAGAGGAAAAGAGGGGAAGAATGAGAAGAGGACATAGACAGAAGAGGAGAGGGGGAAGAGAAGAGATGGAGACAGAAGAGAGGAGAAAGGAAGGAGACAGGAGAGGAGAGGGGAGGGAGAGAGGAGAAGAAACAAACAGTCAGCACATTCTTCCAAAGCAACAACTTTTCCTCTGCAGTCCCCACACCCAGCTCCACTCCCCGTTGGCCCCCTGGCTACCGAGGGGGTCCAGCTTTGTGGGGGGCAGGTCGGGGTACCTGCTTCCTCAGTTTGATTTCTGATGGGAGGCAGGGACAGGCAGAGGGCAGCTGTGCCCACTCTAGCAGGCTGAGGAGATGCCTGAGCTGGTACTTGGTCTCTACACTTTTCTAAAAAAAAATAAATAAATAAAACAAGGGAGGGAGATGGCCTGTGGGAACTGAGGCAGCTGGAGTAACGGGGAGGTTGTTTCAGAGGTTCCCACAGCAGCTCTGCACCTCTCCTTTCTGGGCCTCAGTTTCCTTCTCTGAAACTTAGGGGTTCGTCTGGACTAGCTGATCTCCAAGGTCCCTTTCAGTTCTGTGCCCCAAACACAGCAAGGATGACCCTAGACACCTGGGGTATCAGGAGACACTTCCTGCAGTCTGGGGTACAGCCCCCTACTTCTGCTGGGGACCAAGGCTACCTAGCTCGAGCCTCGGCCCTCGTCCCAAAGACTCCCTCCCAGAGCCTCGCTGCTGCTGGCCACAGTCACGCTGTCCCACGTTAGGTGAGTCCTGTCTCTCTGATTAGACTGATTTTTTCCCAGGGAGAGATCCGGGGTGGGGTACCTATGGTGTTTAATCAGCATTTCTTAGCTTGTTTAATTCAACTATTAAGAGCCTACTATGGACCAGGGGCTGTGCTCTGCCCTCAGGGAACATACACCCTCTGGACCAGAGCTGCTGGGGTGGGGGTGGGGTCTTTCAAAGGCCCAGGAAGGCCACAGAGGTGCCTCTCCCAGTAACAACCCCAGAAGGAGAGGGGGTTTCCTTCCCAACCCATAAGAAGGGCTCAAAGGGGATGGGGTCAGGGGTCACTCCTAGGCCACCCCCCTATCTGCCCTCTCTCTCTTCTCCTTCAGTCACCTACTGAGCCGTTAGCAGCCCACCCGCAGCTCTCGGCCTCCCGTAGCCCTGGCTCAAAGCCGAAATGAGAGACAGGATGCAGAGACTGAGTGACGTTACTGTGGGTTACAGATAGCCATGCAGTTATATGCAGCATTCGCTCTGGAGGGGAGAAGGGGCAGGGGAGGTAGGGAGGGAAGCCAAGGACATGGGAGCAGATCAGGGACAGCTGCGACCCCATGTCTCCCGACCTGGGGGGTGGGAGGAGGGCTGGGCAGGGGGCGCAACAGCAGCTGGGAGACCCCCGGGCCCCTCTCGGCTCGCTGCGAAGGGGACCCAGATTTGGCCGAACCGCTCAGAAGCCGCGAGACGTGGGCCTCCCTTTGCTCCTCAGGATGGGGGCTGCAGGGGCCCCGGGCTCGCTCCCCTTCCCCTTCCAAACAGTGCCCTTAGCCGAAGGGCATCTCTAGACACAGAAGCAAGCTCAAACTCCTCAGAGTGCCATTCACGCATCCAGAGTGTGCCACCATCTTGTTCAAGACCAATTTCTCAGTCTTTCCCAATACCAATCCTGCAACTCCAGCTGGCTAATGGTGCCCTCTTTGGCACCGCCCTCTTGGCAGTTCACATCACCATACCTTTGGGGGGACCCATCATCCCCCCTTTCCAAATCTTATCCAACTTTCAAGGCAAGGCTCCTGAGCCTTCTCAAGGCACTCTCTGGAGCCCAGACGGTCTGCAGTCTCTCTCCCCTTTCCCCTCCTTAGCACCCACCAGCATCAGAGCACTCAATGAGAGAATCTTGGCGATGAAAGGAAACTCAGAAGCCAGGCAGTCCAACTAACCATCACTGCCCTTGGGTTCTATTTTGGATGTAGAACAGAGTGGGTCCCATCCCTCTTCCATGCACTGGTCCTTGGAATGCCTGAAAATGGCTCACATTCCCCCACCCCAAATACCCTCTTCTGGCTAACATTCCCAGTGCTTCCAGCCAACTAATCCTTCCGTGACGTGAGCCTGAAGCCCTCCGCCGCCTCGGTCCCCTGACAGCCTTCCTAAGCCCAAGCACCCAGAAATGCACTCGGTGGTCTCCAAGTGCAGGGCTCTCCCCACTTGCCTCTTCTCTCCAGTAGAACACAGGCTCTCCAAGGGCATCTTTGTATCTTAGTTCCCCCGACACCTGGCACAGCACGTGGTACGCACCAGATGCTTAATATGTATTTGCTTGACTGAACTGAATTTGGTTCTTTGCCCAGAGGCAGATGTGCCTAGGAGTCATCCCCAAGTACAGCGGGATGCCTCTGGAGGTGGTGGGCACCTCCCCTCCGGAGGACTTCACACAGAGACCGAACCAGCACTTGCTGAGGACAGGCAGTATGCTGGTGTGGACCAGGCAGTCATGGAGGCCCCTTCCAACTCTCAGATTCTGTGTAAAACTAAGTTGAGAAGTGCTTTGGAAGATTTAATGCATGTATCGCCAAACCTGCCCTTGGAGGCCTGGCTCCAGATGACAGCACATGGCGGCGCCCCCGAGCCCCCCTGTCCTGTCTCCACAATTCCACCCAGACACACATCATATGACTTGCCCGACTGCAGGGACAGGTGAGGGAGGGGGAGACTCAGTGGCGTGGCAATAAATCACAGTCTGGAGGGGGGCGGCCGACGATGGAGACCAAGCTGGGCAAATTACCTGCTCCGGTGATGGCGGGCATGTTGAAGATCTCCGTTCCAGGCTGGCCGATGTCTAGAGGAAGGAGAAGATGAGATGGGTGAGAGTCACGTAGCGACTGTCACAGGCTCGGTGAGCCTGGAGTCTGAATGGCTGTCCCGCCTGCAGGGGCCAGGCCAGGCTGGCCCTCCAGGGACAGCAGCAGGAAGTCTCAGCCAAACCTTCTCAGGGCTGAGGCTTCTCGGACCCTCAGGGCTCAGCACAGGGAAATGCTCTTGGGATTTTAGAGGCTGGACTGTCTGCATCAGAGGGGCTTCCCCCAAAGCCAGACCCTGACCATCCCTAGGGTAGCAAGGATGTTCCCAGCTGGCCTCTGAATGTCTCGTTCTCTTGTTTTTCTCTTTCCAAATGCAGTGTACTGGGCACGTGGGCTGGACCACACAAGGACATGGATGGGATGCATGGACCCCTTGAGCAGACTCGTAAAACCTATGGGCCCCCCATTCTCAGAAAAATGATGGTTTAAAAAAAATCATCATCGAAGGACAGGCTGCATTTTAGTTTGAGATTCATGAAAACAAAAGATGTAATTTTTTTTCCCCATCCAAATTCACGGACCCCAGGATAAGAACCTTCTTTGGGCCTGCTCTCTCATCTATCAAATGGGCATGGAGAGCTAGACCTATACGAGCCCGTCGGGAGCAAAGTGATTTGTAAACCGTAAGGAGTGTTTAGCAGCTTGGGAAGTGGCAAAGTTTCTGCTCTGATAGCATCCATCCACTCTTGTGTGTGTGCAGACCTGCACGTGCACATCTCTATACACTTTCTCAGGTGAGACAGGAGGACGGAGGGTCCAGAGGACCTCCTTCAGTGGGGAATCGTCCTCCTCCTCCTCATGCCTTACCGTTGGTTTTTACACTTTTCAAATCCCTTACATACGCGTCTCTTCTGATTTACCTAAGAAACCTCTGACTGAGGCCAGGTGGGGATTATTACCCCTATTTTACAGAGGAAGAGCACTAACTGGCCCAAGGACATGCAGGGAAATCGGGGGTAGAGGCAGGGTTTGAACCAGGGTCTTATGACGCCCCGGTGGGGCACGGCTCCCACCAGCTGAGCTGCAATGAGGGGAGAGATGAACCCCCAGAATCCCCAAAAGCTTCAAGTAAAATCCTCCTTGGGGTGAACTGAATCCATCTGAGATGGTCAGAGCTGAGAACCTGGATGCGAATCTACCACTTAGCAGCTGTGTCTGTCTGGGCCTCAATGACCTCATCTGCAAAATGGGTAGGTTTGGTGAGATGACCTCTGCGGTCCCTCCCAGCTCTCTACCTCCCTGTGATTTCTGGGACCGGAGGAGAGGTGAAGGGGGAAGTCAGAGAGCCACAGCCCACCCCTTAACCATCTGCTCTCAGGATGCAGATGTGAATGGCCCAGGGATCCAGGCAGGAGTGGTCAGACGGGGTGGACTTCACCGAGAGAACAAGTCCAAGCTAACTGCGCAAGCCTTCCTCTTTGTGGGCCTCGGTTTTCCCCTCTGCACAATGGGGCCCACACAGCAGGGACTGAATGAGACGGCGGCTCCAGCGCCCCTTGGGGAAATCAAAAGGCAGGCTGCCAGCGTGGAGGACGGAGTCGGAGCCCTGCAGCTGGGCGGCTGGGCAGGGGAGCTGGGGGGACACTCACTGTATTCGGGCTCGTTCCGGCTGTTGGTACCCAGCTTCTTGTTGATCTCCTGCTTCTTGGACTTCACCATGGCGGAGTTGCTCTCGGTCAGTTTGCTGAAGAAGGCAGGGGGCTGGCTGTTGTTTCCTGGAGACTTGGATCCCGTCCTGGGGGAGGGAACGGGGAGGGTGTGTCACTGGGGAGCCCAGGGGAGCGCTCCGTGCTGTCACAGCCTGGCGAGGGCACCCTGGCCAGGCTCCTATCATCCCCACATCGCCAACTCAAGCCCCAACCAGACCCTCCAAGACTGGGAGTCAGAGGACCAGATTCGAGCCCGTCTCTTGGCACCTGCCGGCGGTGTGACTGTGGGCCCCGCTTCCCTAGAGGGCCTCTGAGCGATGACCTCGGTCACGGCCACTGTCTGTCCGAGCTCGGGCGCTCCGCCTATGACCAGAGGCCTGAACGAGGGAAGCGAGTGCTCCAGGTCACGTCCACGTCTGTGGCGGCCCAGGGCTGAAATCCTGGTGTTCTGGGTCCCCGGGACAGCATGCTGCTCTCAATCCCAGAACCTCAGAGATGGACATCAGGACCTCAGGGGGTCACTGGGTGGAGGAGTCCAACCCCCCAAAGAGAGACTGAATCTCTTCTATGATGCCCCCTCTTCTATGACACGTTCATCCTGCCTCTACTGCTTGAATACCTCCAGAGGGACAGGGAACTCACTACCTTTCAAAGCAATTCCATTCTGCTGTAGCACAGCTTAAATTGCTGGGATTCTTTCTTATATTAAGCTGGACCCTCCTTTCCCATGATGTCATGGGATTGCTGATTCAGGGCTGGAAGGGACTGCAGACTGCATGTCTGACCCCTGCATTCTACAGCTGCTGAAACTCAGGCCCAGGGTGGGGAAGGCAGACAAGTGGCCGAGTTAGGATTTGAACACAGGTCCTCTGACTTCAATGCCAGCCTTCCCCACTAGACCCCTGGGGAGGGGTGCCTGGAGATGTCCTTCCGTGCCCCCATCCCTGAGGCTACTGTACCTGGGCTCCGCCTGCTCCCCCTCTCGGTACAACATTGGGTAAGGGGCACTTCGGCTGTGGTCAGACTCCCCCATGCCCTCTGGTGGGGATACTGGCTCAATGCAATCTTCTGAGCTACCCAGGGCAGAGGCTTTGCCCTGCTCCGGAGACCTGGGAGAGAGACACACAAGATAGAGAGAGAAGAAAGACATAGGAGAGAGAGAGAGACAGAGACAGAGAGAGATACAGAGAGACAGAGAGAGATAGAGACAAAGACAGAGACAGAGAGACACACAGAGATAGAGAGAGAAGAAAGACATGGGGGGGAGAGACAGAGACAGAGATAGGGAGGAGAAAGAAAGAGAGAGACAGAAACAGAGAGATACAGAGACAGAGAGAGACACAAACAGAGACCAAGACAGACAGAAAGAGACAAAGGACAGAGAGAGAGAAAGAGAAAGAAAGAACAGAGATAGAGACAGAAAGAGACACACAGGAAGACAGAGAAAGCGAGGACACAGACACAGAAAAAAGACAGAGGGAAAGAGGAGAGACAGAGACACAAAGACATAGCCCATAGAGAGACAGAGAGAGGACAGAGACAGAGACAGAGGACAGAAAGAGAGACAGAGACACAGAAAAAGACAGAACAGAGAAAGAGGAGATACACAAAAGAGAGACACAGAGACAGAGTGCATGGTCAGGGTGAGGCAGCATCGATACACTCCTCCCCTGCTCAGCAATCTTCCATGGCTCCCTGTTGCCCCAGGATCAGTTGCCAGCTCCTTGCCTGGGCATTTAAAGCCCAGCCCACTCTGGCTCCTGTTGCACTTCCCAGCCTGAATGCATCTCTCTGTCCTTATGACATCCCAGGCCCAATGGGACTTCTCGAGGTTCTTTGTATCTGACCTTCCATCTCTGGACTCCTATGTCTTTGTCCAGGCTGTCCCCTCTGCCTGGAATGCCCTCCCTCCTCACCTCTCCCTCTCAGAATCCTTGGCTTCCTTCAGGCCTCAGCTCAAGAGCCATCTTTCCTTTCTTGATCTCCACCCCGATCAACAAGGCAATCAGTCAACAAGTATTTATTAAGCACCTACTACTACATAAGCACTGTGCTTATACTGATAGAAAGAAAGGCAGAAAACAGTCTGGCCTCAAGGAGAGCCCACTGGATGGAGGACACTGTACACAGCCCCTGGCCAGAGCCTGCTGACCTCTCCCCTGGGGCACTGCAAAGGCAGAGGACATTCCCAGTCTGCTGCAGCCAGGGCGTGTCTGGAAGCTGGGGCCTCCTGACTCTCTGGGCCGTGCCTTTTCTAATATTTTCTGTTTCCTCTGTCTGTCTCCCACAGCAGACAGTAAGTTCCTGGAAGGAAGGCTGCCTCATTTCTGTCTTTCTTCCCTCAGGCCCCAGAACAGTGCCTGGCACACAGTAGGGGCTTAATAAAGAGGGGAGGAGGCATCTCCGTTTGAATCACTGTGGCTTGCGTGGGATCACGCTTTGTGGGTCATAGCTGACAGGGCCTCTGCACTGCCCCCACCTCCCGCCCCCATCCCAGGATGCTAAGAGCAGGGGCACAGAAACTCACTTCAAACGTTTTCCATTAAACAGCTACTCCCTGGGCCAGGCCCCGTCTGAGGCACAGGGAGCCCCGACACAAGGCCAAATAGCCCCCTGCCCTCAGGGAGCTGATGTTCTAGAGGGGGCAGGCACGACACCATATGTGTCAATGTCTCCATGTGTCCCACCCCGTTAAGGACTGCTCTGCAGGCCTCTGTCAAGGTCTGCCACCCCTTCCTGTCAAGAGGGCTCAGAGACAGCTGGCCTCACTCACCCAACCAACAATAGTAATTTCCAGGGGTCTGGGGCCCAGTCCACCCCCACTGCCACACAGGTTCACAGAGTCCAAACTGGAAGGAACCCCAGGGACCACTGAGTCCAACCCCCTCATTTTACATATGGGGAAACTGAGGCCCAGCCTGAGGAAGGCGGCACGTGTGAAAGGCGGGGTCTGACCCCAGCTCCTGCGGCCCCCAGCTCACCTCTTGCCTCCTTCGCTCTGGGGGGAGATGCGGGAGGCGGCACCATGGTCCGGCTGGGGGAGGTAGACCTCGCTGGGCGTCCGGCGTAAGTCCAGCACGGGGCAACTGGCCCCAGGAAAGGAGTAGAGAGGGGCCGGGAGGTGAGAGTTGAGCTGCTGGGGGTGATGGCGGGTGTAGTCTTGGGTGATCACCTCCTGGGGAGAAGGGAACAGAAACACGTGACTGGGAATGTAGGGTCACCGCCATCGGACCCAGTGTCCCCGCCTGTCCTGCCGGCTGGTCACCTCTCTGGCGGCCGTAGCTTGCCTCTGTCTGCACCCGCTGTGGTGCCTGACTCAGCCTCCGCCGCACAGCAGGAGCTCTGCTCGGGATTTGGGGGCGATCCATGGGATCACAGATATATGACAGAAAGGGATCGCGGTAACCAACATTTACACGAGGCTTTGAGATCTGCAGAGCGCTTCGTATACAGATTATCTCAGCCGAGCCTCACAACGAGCCCGTGAGGAAGGTATTACTATATCCCCATTGTACAGATGAGAAAACTGAGGCTCTGGTGGCGCCCTGCATGACTTGCTTCAGGTCACAGCTACAGACTGTCAAACTCGGGTCTCCCTGGGTCCAGGCCCCACACTGTAGCCTGCGCCACCTAGTGGACTAGTGGTTTAAACCTTTCATTTTTCAGATGAAGAAACCGCGTCCCAGAGACAGGACATCACAGGATCCTAGAACCAGCGCTGGAAAGGGCCCAGAAGGTCCCTCGGTTCAGCGCCCTCAGTTACAGACGAGGGGATCCAGGTCCAATGAGGGGACGTCGCGTGCCAAAAGCGCTGGATGCATTTGGGCCCAGGAGCTGTGGGGCCGGTGCCGCGTTCCAGGTCCCCCTCCCAGCACCCGCCATTCCACCTCCCGAGGAGTGGGAAAGGGTCAGACCCAGAGGGTCGGCGCTACACTAGAGGGTCCAGGGGAGGAAGGCCCACAGCGGCTCCTTACGCTGATGTGTTGGGCTAGAGTGACCACCCGCTGGTGACCCTTGACCACAGAAGAAGACATCGGCTGCCCGGGTGACTGTTGGCTCTCCGGGGGCTGCCGGCCGTGGGAGGCCTCAGACAACTTCATGGAACCTGCTGGGAGGGAGAAGGAACGTGGGCCGTCACACAGGTTTCTGGCCTCGGGGGTGCCAGGCTCTGGTGCGGTGTAGACTGGGAGGGCAGAAGTGGGTCTGCCCAGTCCAAAGTCTTTGCCTGCTGCCACAGACCCCACACTTGTCCCCTAGTTAGTTCAGGACTTCGGTTTTTGTTGTTTCATGTTTAAACTGGACCTGAGATGGCGACTGGTCACTAGGCATTCATTAAGTGCCTACTATCTGCCAGGAACTCTGCTAAGTGATGGCTCCCAGTGAGGAAATGCCCTCTCCCAAAGCAGACCCCCGCCTCTGCACCAAGTGTCTAACAGGCTAAGTGACCTGCCCAGGGTCATGCCACCAATATGGGTCAGAGGGGCACCTGAGCTGTGAGGCTGGCCCAATGTTCCTTGGACCCCGTGGCAGGAAATTAGCAGACTGGTCCCATCACTGACCCCTCCTCCTGAGTCACAGTAACGGGTAACGTGTGTTTGCACTGGGCGGGGGGGGGGGCCGCCTTCTCCGGATAGTGAGACATCGCAACACCTCTGAGGACGGATCCCAAGGATCCCCCTCCATTCCCCCACTGAAATATTTACCCAAACCATCCCACTTCCTTAACACTGGGTTATCCTAGGGGGTCATGGGGAGACCTTCCTTGTACCCCAACGCCGGCTCCTCTGTGTTGCACGGCACAGTGCCCCCCACCCCAGCCTCTGCCTCAGAAGAGTCCCAAGGCATCCTAGCTTGCAGCTTCCTGCCCACTGTGTCCCCATTAACGTGGGAGGCCCCAAGGGCAGCGCTGGTTTTCCCCTCCTTTGCTGAGGCTTGCTGATTTGAGTGTAAAAGCCTCTGGGTCTCACCCAGGGCTCGTAGGTCCAGGTCCTGCATGGGGAAGTTCTTGCTCGGAGCCTTGTCTCTGTGCTGCTCGTTGGCCGAGGCTGGGTGCGGGGGCTGTGACTCCAGCGCAGGGTGGGCCACGTGGCTCTTCCCCTGCCCTCGGCCCGAGCTGGAGCCCGAGCCCGGGCCGGAGGACGCCAGGGACCTCGGCTCGGCAGCTTTGCTGGGGGATGGTGGCGGCTCCAGCCCCCCGCGGCCGGGGTGCTTGGCCACGAAGGGGATGCTTTCCAGACGGGGGCGCTCTGACCGTGGGGGCCGGGAGGCCTCCTTCTGAAGGATGGTGGGGTCGATGATGGTGGGGTAGCCCCCGTCCATGGCACCCAGGGGGCAGTGCGGGGCAGGCGGGAAGCCCGTGGAGCGTACTGGTGAGGTGGCCGAGGAGGACCTGTAGGGAAAGATGGGAGCCGTCAGTGCTGGGAGGGTCCCCCGGCACGACAGCATCCCTTGGGGCGCTGAGCTCAGGCCTGGGGGAGCTGGGGGGCCAGGGTGGAAGAAACAGGAGGGGGGGGTCTGTAAGGCTGGGGTCTTCTCGTGGGAAGAAGAGAGACCAGGCAGGAACCACAATAACCTGAGATTAAACAGAAAAAAGGTAGCAAAGGAATAAGCAGCATCTGTCAAACACCATCCCATCTGATCCTCACACCACCCTGGGAGGAAGGGCTAGGCCTGGACCCATTTTACAGACGATGAAACCACGGCAAGGGAGGCCAAGTGACGCAGGCAAGGGGGATCGGTAAGAAATGGAATTGAAATATTTTACAGAGGGAGAGAATTCAGGACTGAAAAGAAGTATTTTAAAAAAGTGCCATTTTCCTGGCACTACAGGTATGATTAATTTGAAATATACGGCTCTCCCAAACTTGAAGGTGCAGCCCCGCTAACTTATTCAAACAGACCTTTTCACAAACACAAACTTGACTACGAGGGTTTAATCAAACGCACCCAAGATATCAAAGTGTGAGTCCCAAACAGCCTCCCGCAGCAGGGGTCTGAATTCCACGCTGTCTGGTAAATGGGGGTTTGCAGTGACCTTTTTTTGTCTCCTACACATTTTTGCATTTCATTACCTTAAACATTTTTATGCATGTTTACAACATAAACAAATTGTCAAAATTGGGGGGGGGGGCAAACAGCTGGCACTGGAAGAGCCCTGTTCTGTCCCACCAATAATGAGGAATCGACCCCCTGTCGGAGGCCCAGTGGGTCCACTTCATGGCTGTTGAAATGAGCCCGGGAGTGGCCTCTGAGGAAGCAGGCCATGGGGTCCATCCGGCTCAGCTCTGTCTCTCCAGGACAAGTCACCCTGACAAAGGATAGTGGGTGGCGGCATCCCCCGGGCCAGGCTGCACCGACCCGCTACCTGCTGAGGAAAACCTGGTGCTGGCCGACAGCGCCCGGACTCGCGGCCTAGAGCCGACGTCTTTCTGTCTGGCTGAACGGCACTGAGCTTCGGTCACCCAAACGGGCACCCCTGAGCACCAAGCCACCACGTGCAAGTTTGGGACGTTCTCTACCGCAGGCTCACCCCCCAGGAGGGTGTAACTTAAACCACTCTTTCTCCCGTGAAACATCCCCCTGCAGTCCACTGAGGGGCACACTTTGTTAAGACACCTTCTCTCTCCGCTGAGGTCTAGGATTTTTCTTTTTTTTTTTGAAGAGGGAATGAATAAAGCAAATTTGAAGATGTCCTGGCTACAAGTCGTGACCCCAGACTGTCCTTTGGGGCCGGCCAGACCCAACTGAAATGCCCACCTCTCCCCTGAAGCCTTCCTTGGTCAACCCCAGAGCTGGAAGTGATTTCTCCCTCACCTGATCTGAGCATGTTATCAATCAAGAAGCATCTATGCCTGCCCTCAGGGGGCTTACATTCTACTGGAGGAAACCACAGGCACACATTTAAGCACAGACACAATGGATACGAAGTTAATTACAAGGTAAAGTGAGGAGCAGCTTCAGGAAAAGGCAGTTACCAGGTTCCCATCCCCATGCCTTTGCACAGGCAGGGCCCCACACCAGGGATGCTCTCCCTCCTGGAATCTCTAGTTTCTTTTTTTAAAATCTTATTTATTTGTTTTTGGTTTTCAACATTCACTTGTATAAGATTTTGAGCTCTAAATTTTCTCCCCCTCCCTCCACTGGAATCTCTACTTTCAAGACTACTTCCTTGGGGGCCACAGCCTTATTTCTACAGGCTTACAACAACCAAGTTTGGCTAAGTGCTTAGAGAGGCATCTGCTGAAAAATGAATGAACGAATGAATGAATGAATAAATGAATGACGGCAGGAAGGTGGAGGCAGCTCCTCCCCCTCCCCACCCCTCCCCTCAGAACTCTTTGTCATAAGATCCTGGCTCGAGAGCCAAAAGGGACCTCAGAAGCCATGCAGGCCAAGCCCTCGTTTTACAGCTGGGGAAACTGAGGCTAGGTGAGTTGCGCACGGCCACACAGGCAGCAGGATGGTGGCCCCGGTCCCACGCTGCCTCCTGGGTGCCCTGCCCCCGGCTGACTCCCACCCGGCCCCGTACCGTAGGACAGAGGGGGTGAGGCTCTCCACCGAGGAGATGATGCCCTTCATGCCCGTGTTGTGGAGCACGCTGGGTCTCTGCTGGACGTTCTCCTGGGTCCGGGGGGAGATGGGTGAATGCTGGTGGCTGTGAGAATGAGAGGCTGGCCGGCTGCCACTGCCACCCCCGCCGCTGCCTCCGCTGCTCTGCTCTGTACCTGCGGACAAGCCTGAGGGGTCAGGAGGCGGGGGAGGTAGGAAGCGGGGGCAGGGCGTGGGTTGGGGGAGGGGGGGTCTTCAAAGACCACCCGCTGGGAGTGGAGAGGATGGCGGTGGGTGGCGATAAAGGGACCCGCCAGGGCCAGAGGGCCCAGGAAGAGGCTGCAGAGTCAGTGGTCTGCTTCACATGGGAAGGGGGCTCTAACCTGGTTCAAACAACTTCCCTGCCAATCACTCTTCACCTAATCCTCTGAACACCGCCATGAGGGAAGCAGGCTTTGGAACGTTCTCCCCATTTCAGAGATGGGGAGATGGAGGCTCACAAAGGCCGGCCTGACTAATGTGGTTCGTAACGAAGCGCTTTCTGTCCATCATGCCGCCTCCATCAACCCTGACAACAACTCTGCCCGGGAGGCGTGACTGTTATACCCATCTTACAAACACAGTAAATGAGACTGGAAGGTGGCAAGTGACAATCCTAACAAAGCACAGTTCGTGTTAATACAGAGGACATTGTCTCCCATCCCCTCTGACCCTCCTAATCACAGCCCCAGGAGGCAGGCGATACCTTTCACAGATGAGTAAACTGAGGCTGACAGCTCACGCCCCAAGGGTGGGGATTGGAACTCGGGTCTTCCTGCCCCCAAGTCCAGACATGAGCAGCAGGGCTGGCCAGGACCCTGCCCCAGAGATCCGAATCTCTGGTCTCCTAATTCCGAGCCCAAAGCTCTCCCCACCACCCCAGGCTACCTCGTGTCAACACTGCAACACCCTATAAATGCAGGTGCTGCAGGCCCCTGAGCTGGAGCAGGGGGGCCGGCAGTGAGTGTGGGAGGGGGGCTCCATGCTCCCGTGCCTGCATGTAAGCACCCGGATCCTCCCGCCAGGTGACCCTGACCGTGGCACTCTCAGACCTCGCCCCGCCCTTACCTGGCCTCCAAATGGGCGCATGCTCCACAGTTGGGGTGGGCGCCAGAACAGACTTCTCCCGGTCACGCTCTCGATCTCGATCTCGCTCCCGGTCTCGTTCCCTCTCGGAAGAAGATGTCCCCGTCGGTTTAGTAATGTGGGTGGGACCTCCTGAGGTTTAAAAAGGCTCGGATCAGCTACACCTTTCATGCCAATGTCTGAGCTCCAGGGCAGGCACTGGATGCAACACCCAGGCCTTGAGGGTTAAGGGACCAGAGAGGGGAAGGAACTTTCCCAAGGACACACAGCAAAGAGAGAACCCAGGCATCCTTTGCGTTTGGCCTGGGGTCTTCCGCTCCCTCACACCCCCGCCCCGTGGTGACCTTACAGCCAGGCAGAGTCCAGCTTTCTGTCCGTCCCTCCTTTTTCCCCATCTCTCTCTCACCCTTAGTCTTCCATGTCTCCTTCCACCAGCCTCCACCCCAGCTATTTGCCTGGGAAGAGTCTACAGGGGCCTCCCTCCTCCCCCCGCCGGCGAACCCCCCGGGAGCGGGCCCCCCCCCCCCCGCCCCGGCCTCACCAGCCAGCAAGTAGGAGGCAGAGGGTCCTTACCTGGGGAGAGTGGGGAGGGGCTGGGCCTGCTGCTGAAGGGCTGGGGGGCACTGGGGATGTATGTGATCCGGTCTATGGCGGGGGCAGAGGGGCCCGGCGTGGGGGGCACCAGCACTGGCAGGTGCGGCACTTGGGACAGGTCGATGATGCCTGCAGAGGGAAGACAGAGGCAGGAAGGTCAAGCGGAAAGCACCCCAGGAAGGCCCGGCCAAAGCCGCAGAGGGGCTCCCCAGGCAGGGAAGGGAAAGGGGCAGGCTCCTCCCTGGGACACCCTGGCAGATGCACCTGGGCGTGCACTCCGAGTGTGTGCACACGCCTACCTGCAAACACGCACAGTCACAAGCATCCTGGACCGCACACCTGTGTGCCCCCTAGCACCCCTCCTCACAAAAGCGATCCTCTGGCCCCAGGGCTCCTTTCATCATCCTCTCTTGGTCCCTACACCTTTCACCTGCTATCTCGAGGACAGCCCCTTCATTTTACACAAAGAGAAAGCCTAGAAGGAGGAAGTGACTCATCCAAGGCCACAAAGATAATGGAGCAAGGATTCCAATGGAATTCTAAACCAATCAACCAATCAACAAACAATCATCATTCTTTATCCTATGTTCACAATGTGCCAGGCACCGTACAAGGCACGCCCTCAAAGGCAGAGATCCCATGGAGAGGAATATGCTCGTGAAAAATCCAGAATTCTGCATGACAGCCCCCTCCCGAGGCCTCCCCTCCAACAGCCTCGCGTTTCTGTACTTGCTTTGGACACACTTAGAGAAAAGCGCAAGCACACACACGCACACGTTATCTGCCTCGGTAGCACGTAAGCTCTCTGACAACAAGGACCAGCCCATTTCTGTCTCTGCAGCCCGTGGCCTGGCCCACAGCACATGCCTAATGCCACTTCCAGACTGACAGACAGGGTGGGGGGCCTCAGCGGCCGGCATCGACGCCGTCTACACTAAAGTGCGGCCCCTCCTTGGGCCAGGCTGGCCCGAGCTGGGAGACTCCCAGAGAGCGGGGGCAGGCGGCCAAGGCCGGACACTGAGGTTCTGACACGTCCTGGCCAAAGATCTAAGAGACAGGGATGGGAGGCAGGAGGTGGTGGAGGAATCATCCCACTCGATCACAGCTGGGCATGCCCACGTGAGAAGGCAGTGATGTGCCTTCATCCACATCCGCGCAGTAATCCTTACAAAGGACTTCATTTTGGTCTTCAAAAGCACCCAGGGCTGGAAGAGACTTCAGCCTCAGTCTGGGCCCTCTCGTTACAGGGGAGGCCAGGTGGAGGAAGTGTGGCCCAGGGTCACGCTGGCCACGAGCGGCAGAGACAAGGCATGAACCCTCTACAGCCAGAGTTCTTCTCTCTGCGTCCCACTGCCTCCCTACTCAAATGTCATCTCCTCACGGGGTCTCTACCAGGGATGTGCCATATGCATGCACACGTATGTGGACATACGTGTATATGCATGCACACACACGGGCCATGCCCTCCTGCCAAATGTAAAAGACAGGTGATTTTGCCAAAGCACACGTGTATGCACGTGCGGACATGCGAGGCCCACAGAAAGCCCTGTGTTCCCTATTGCCCTGAGGACAGACTAGCTTCTGAGGCCCTTCCCAACCACCCTAAGCTCCTACACAAAAAATATGGCCCTTCCAGTATTCTCTGGTGCAGCCAAACTAGCCCTCCTTCTCGTCCTCAGGCCAGTATCACACTTGCCCATCTCCATGCCTTTGCACTAGCTGAGTCCCATGCCTGGAGTACATCCCCTCCATTTCTTCCCCACTGAATCCCTACCTCCCCTTCTATCAAAACACTGCTCAGACGCCATCTTTTCCATAAAGCTTTTCCTTCACTGATAGCACCCTCTCTCCACAACCACCATGGATTTAACAACTTTGCATATATTTCCATTCACTCATTTTATATTTGACAGACAAATATATACACATATGTACGTGTCTAAGCACGAGTGCGTGATCCCTGTTCCAACAGAATATAAGGTCCTTAGGGGGTCTCTGTACTTGAATCCTCAGGGCTTGGCATACAGTAGGCACTTCATAAATGCATGCTGATTGATTATACTTTTAATATATTGTGTTCAGTCTAAATGATGTACACATTGTCACCCCAGGTAGGTCATAAGCCCCTTGAGGGCAGGGCACGTCTCTTTCTGTCGTGGCGTCTATAACATCGAGCACACTGCTCAGAATACAGTAAGTGCTGAATAAATGCTTGTGGACGGACTGACTGATGTCCACACGTAGGCCCTGGGTGCCCCCAGGCACGGACCTCTGTACACCCCCTCACACCCATCCTCTCTCTCTGTCTCACCCAAGCCAGTCTTGGGGAACAAATCATGCTTCTCCTTCTTTCCCATGGCCCCTCGGCCTCCCCATCTTCTCCCCTCCCCAGAGGGGCTCCCAGCTCTGCCTACCCCGGGGTCCGGCTGCATAGTTGAGTGCCAGGGAGGACTCCCTGCGGATGATGTCAGCTCGCTGGGCCATGGCGGTGGCTGCGGCGGCGTTGTGATGCATCTGCTGGGATGTGATGTAGTCATTGATAATGGTCTGTCTGTTCTCCATGGCTGTGGTGTCTGGGTAGCCACGAATGAGGTATGGTGGATACAGGTGTGGGTAGGTGGGGTTTGGGGCCAGGTGCCGGGGCAAGTAGTAAGCGGCAGTAGCTGGGAGGAGAAAAAAGGGGAAAAAAAAAACAAGAAAAAAACTCAAGAGATGAGTATTTGGTTTGCTGCTCGCTCTGGACGCTGAGGACTGTGTTCTCAAATCTCTAAGAAAGGAGCTGGGCAAATGGCGATCCTGGAGCCCGGCCCCTCTCTGGCTTCCTTGTCTCCAACACTTGGTCTGGGGACAGGCTCAATCTGGCGCCCGGTCGGCCGGGCTCCCGAAGGGGCTGCCAGGAGGCGGGCACCAGATGGAGGCTACGGTTCTGCCTGCCAATGCGTCTGTCCTGTGGGGACAGCCAGGGCAGCCCCGGGTCTCTGGGCCCAGCTGGGAAGATCAGCTTGAAACACGGCTCTGGGAATTCAGACTCTCTGATGGTCAAGGTCAATTCCCACCAGGGCTAAGCAGGACTCCTAATTCAGCCCTGCCACAGGGAAACAGACCCCGGCCGCTGTCTAGCGGAAGGCACTATGGATCTGGAATCAGAACATCCAAGGTACACAGTCACCGCCCTGGGCCTCAGGCCCTGAGCTGTAAAATGAGGGTGTGGGGACAGACCGCCTCTGAGGTTCCTGTGAGCTCCAAGTCCACAATCCTCTGAGGTTTCAGTTTCCTTATCTGTGAAGTGGGTGGGTTGAGCTAACTGGCCTTCCAGGTCCCTCCTAGCTATAAACCTATGATTTCATTCCTAACACTACCTTTCCACAGAATACTCCAGGTGAAGACTTGCAGGGTTGGAAAGGGGCCTTCCTAATCATCCCCACTGCCTGAAGGGCTCCTACCTAGTCTGAATCTGCGCCCCCACCCCACAGTGCGGCGTGGGGGGCATGGCTGGCGGGCCAGGCGTTTGAGTCCACCCCAGTCAAAAGCTCAGGCCGCCAGCCGGAGGCGGCCAGCAACGGCTCTGGAGGCTACCGGCGTCTGCCACTGCACCCAAGGGACCTCAGCTTCCTCCTCTGTACAGTAAGGCAATCAGACTAGCGGTGCCTATGTGCCTTACGGCATTGAGTGTATGCATCCCCACTGCTTGCTTGGTACACAGTAAGGGATTAATAATTGCTCTGTCCTTCTCCTATCCCATGATCACCCTGGTACCTGTCTTCTCTAAAGAGAAGACCGTTTCCCTCGTACCCAGCCCCAGGCCAATGGCCTGCCGCTGACTTTCGATGGGACTGTGGGCCGGAGCGCTCCCCAACTTTCTTACCTATCACACAGGGATAATGACTGCCTTTTCCACCCCTCAGCCAAGGTCAAATGAGCTAAGAGATGGGAATGTGGTTTGGAAGGTAAGTGCAGAGCCACCCTGCTCTACCCTGCCCAGAATAATAACAATAATGATAATGATGATGATGATGATGATGATGATAAACATTCCCTAAAGACCTCTTGTGTGCCAAGCATCGAGCGAGGTGCCCAAAGATGAAAACGTCCCTGCCCTCGAGGAGCCATCAGCCTCGCTGGGGAAGACAAGCCCAGCGCTCTCCAGGCTCGGCCCGCTCTGGAATATGCATGCTCTCTTTGGCAGGGCAGCTTCTGCTTGGTGTGGGGAAAGGAGCTCACGAGCGCCCCCTGGGCAGGTGACTGGAGAATCACAGGATGTAAGAGCTGGAGGGGACCTCAGGGGACATCTATCCAACTCTCTCATTTTGCAGATGAGGAAACTGAGGGCCACAAAAAGGGACTGACTTGCCCAAGGAGACTTGGGGACTGAAGCGTCAGAGATGGGATTTGAACCCAGGTCCTCTGGCTGCGGAGCCAGGGTTCTTTCTCCCATACCAGGCTGCCTCCAATGGGGAGGGAGTGGGCAAAGGGCCTTACCTGCATCCAGGGGGATCCCCCGGGGGATGGAAGTGGGGTCAAAAGCCAGCGGAATGTGTCCCCTGTACAAGTCCACGCTGCTCACGCCTCTGAGTAAGTGCTCGTAGGGAGACATGGGGTGCGGGTGGTGGTCTGGCACTGCGGTGTGCGGGGATTTGGAGCTGGCAAGCTCCCGAGGGGTTGCCGTGATCTTCCTCTCTTGGGATCCCTTGCTGGATGAGAGACTTCCTGGAGAGTGAGGAGAGAGAGGATCAGCCCCACCCCTGGGGACGGCTGCATCATCAAGCAGCACTTAGGAAGTGCCAACTGCGTACCAGGTGCTGGGGACAGAATGAAGCAGCCTGGTCCTCTAGGAACCTCCAGGCTAGCTGGGGGAAGCAGGCACTGGCACCTCCAGGGTTAGCCTGGGACAACTCTGCCACCAGGGCCTAAATGGGCAGCTTGGAGCGAGCCTCCTCCCCCATCGGACCAAGGTGCCCGCCACCTGGGCTGCGGCCAGTCTCCCGGGCAGACACACTCACCCTCCTGCTGCCGGGGTGTGGACTCCCGGGTAGACACGGGTGACCCCCGGGGCAGATGGGCGAAAGCCGTGGCATGGTCCTCGTAAGTCAGGGGGCTCTGGCGGGGCTTCCCCAGCTCAGGCACGATCACGGGCGCCCCTCGGGTGATGGAGCCCCCAGAGCTGGTGACGGAGCTGGGCCGGCTCTTGAGGGTCTCTTCGTAGCAGCGGTCCATGGCACGGGGATCCTGAATCACGTCGAGCGGGTGCACGGGGTGGAACGTCCTGCCGGGGCTGCCAATGATGGAGCGGACGTCGTGCTTTTTGGAGCCACTCGAGGAACCGCCGCCGTCGTATTTCAGAGGCGTGCCCTGGGCAGGGAGGAGGGGCGGGGGCGGTGAGAGGGCAGCTGGACCACCACCCAGTCTGCCCGCGCCGGCACCCGTGTGCCTCTACTCTCAAAATTCCATTCACACGAGCCACATGGAGGGGTAGAGAGCAGAACAAACACTACCCAGTTTGGAGTCGGCGGACCTGGGGCCAATCAATCACCAGCACCTATTAAGTGCCTACTGTGTGCCAAGCGCTGGAGAGACAAAGGAGAAACAAAAAGAATCCCCAGCCTCAAAGAGCTTATATTCTGAGGAAGACACATACATCAAAGGGTGTAAGATGCAGAGAGAATTGGGCCTCAGTGGCCTTATCTGTAAAATGCACGGATTAGAGCCAGCTGGTGAGTGCAGTGCACAGAACACTGGCCCTGGAGTTAGAAAGACCTGAGTTCAAATCCAGGATCAGATACTTACTAGCTATATGACCCTGGGCAAGTCACTTAACCTATCTGCCTCAGTTTCCTCAATTGTAAATAAAATGGGGTTAATAACAGCATCTACCTCTCAGGGTTGTTGTTAAGATAACACGAATAGGTAATATGTATGAAACCCTTAGTGCAGCGCTTGGCGCACAGCAAGCACTTAATAAATGCTATTCCCTTCCCCTAAGGAAGCTTCCAACACTACGGTTCCAACTCTACGGCCTTATTAACACCTACTAAGCACACTGTGTACGATGCAGGCGTGGGACGTGATCGCCCCTGAGCCTGACCCACGCCCGACACCTGGAACCTGACCAGGGCCTAGGCAGCAAGGGGCAAGGAACTTCTGTGGCAGGGGAACCCGAGTTTGAATCTTGTCTGAGACACTCACTGGCTGTGTGACCCTGTGCAAATCACATTGCCTATCTCAGCCTCAGTCTCCCCATTTGTAAAATGGGGACATGACCAACTACATCAGAAAGCTATTGTGAGGACCAAATGAGATCATGTGTCCAAAGTGCTTTGCACACCTCGAAATGCTTACTATGAGTAATAATGCTATTATTAATGAAGTTAGTAATGATGTTTATGATGATGAGAAAAACAGTAACTGTGATGTTGAAAGCCCAGGGAGATGAAAGAATCAGAGGTCTCCCAGAATTGGAGAGGGTTTCAGGGACAACCTAGTCCCAAGGAGGACGGGGCCAAGCATCACCCCTCTGGCAAACAGGCCAAGGAGGCCCCGTGGGTGGTCTGCAGAGCCCACAGCCACACAGAGTTCCCTGCTCCCCAGGGCAGCCGGCCTAGTCTCCTCCTGACCAGCTCCAACTGGGAAGGAACTGGAACCCAAGCCTGCCCCCTGTGAACTCGCACCTCCTGCTCCCAGCTCTCCCCCTGCAACATGATCCACTCCTGGCTGCCAATCAGTCAGTCGATCCCTGCCTGTGGGAGCTCCCGTGCTGGTGGAGCGAGAAAAGAGAAGCCCAGCAGAGCCCACAGAGGGCTCCTGACGGCTTCTCTCAGCCTGACGGGGCAGGGGGCATCCTGCTGGGCCCTGGGGCGGCCTCCAAGCGCCCAGCAGGTGTTTCATAAACAAGAACTCATGTCCGCAGAGCCCCACGAGTTTTACATGCTTAAAACATGTTAGGCCATCTGGCCTCACACCACGCCTCGGAGGGTGCAGGCAGCTGGCACTGTGCCCATTTTATGGATGAGGCCCTGAATGGCTAACTGAGTTGTTCAGCATCACAGGGATGCTGAGTATCTAAAGTGGGCAGTGAGCCCTGGCCCTCCTGGCTCCGAGCCCACACTGCCTCTCACAGGTGAGCAAATGAGGTTTAAAGCCCTGCACCAGGGTAGGGTGGGGGCGTGAGTGGCTGGAGGCAGACTCCTCTCGGACCCCAGCGACGAGCAAACGGTCACCCACGCCCCTCCCGTCAAGGTTTACCAAGCCCTTCCCCCCACCGCTGCTGCCCATTTCACAGAGGACGCCCTTGAGGCTCCCAGCCCTTCCCCTACCTGTGTGATGGAGCCTTCCTTAAGGGGCCGCGGTGGGCCAGGGAGGTCGGGCGTGTGACGGAGCTCCTCCCGCGGGATCTCGTGGATGGAGCGGCCCGCCTCCTTCACGGTGGCCACCAGGCCCTCATGCCCCTTGATCTTCATCGGGGTCAGCCCCTCCAGCGGCCTCACTTTGTATGGGTCGGGCAGCTCCCGAGGCGGGGTGCTCTCTCTCTTCATGTGTTTGGCTTCCCGGCGCAGGTAGTCCTCCTGGGCCTCCACGTAGGACCGAGGTATACCTGTCGGGAGCCGGGCCAGGAGCCACGCTGACGAGGACTCTCCTCACACCCTGACCACCCACCAGCCTGTGCCTTCACACCCCATGCAGATGGTGCCCTTCTCGAGGCCGCTTTCAGAATCCATCTGTCGGGCTCGAATACAGACCCTGTGCCTCCCTTTCTGTGAGGCTGGCGGGCCAAGGGCTGGCCCTGGAGCCAGGAGGCCCGTGCCCAAGTCCTGTCTCTGTCCCCTGACTTTGTGAGTCCCTGGTGCACGTGCTAGGCCTCTCTCTATGACTCGGTCTCCCAGATGGAGGAGTTCACCAAATCACGGAGTTTGTAGAAGCTGGGAGTAACCTTCGAAGATCTAGCTAGTGAGTGGCAGAACTGAGATTCGAATCCAAACCCAGAATCCTTTTTACTGCACTACACCACCTCCCACTAAGACTTGTGCTCACAAAGGAAAAAAGGGAAGTCGCACACTTTCACCAGGGGTTTGTGAAGGTGTGTGTTCACACATGTTTCTGTGTGAGTTGGCATATGTGTGTCTGGGTCGGGGTGTTTGGGTCGGTATGTGCTGATGCGGATACATGTGAGCGTAAGTGTGTGCGTTAGTGTACTGTGAGCCTGTTTGGGTTGGTGTTGTGTGTTTGTGAGCGTGTGTTGGTGTGTGAGTCTGTGTGGGTCAGTATGTGTCAGTGTGGAGTACATATGTATGTGTGTGTTGGTATATATGTCTGTGAGCGTCTTTGTGTTGACACGCTGGTGTGTATGAGTATGTATGTGTGTGCTGTTGTATATGTGTGAGTGAGTGTCTCTGTGTGGCCATGTGCTGGGGGGGCGTCGCTGCATGTGACTAAGTTCGGGCTGGCACGCGTGTCTGCGTCCACCCGTCGGTCCTATCCAGAGACTATACGGCCCACGGGGGCCTTCGTCCTCCTCCTTGCGGGCCGCAGGGTACTGCAGGAAAGCCAGAGTGCGAGCTCCGGCTCGGCCGCTTGAGTGAATCACCTCGTTCTGCCGGGCTCCCTGTTTTCTCGTCTATCGCTGGGGAATGCCGGTGCCCTGCCATGCTTCCCTATGTACTTCACAGGGAGGCTCTTAGGATAGAATGGGATAGGGAGGCAGCAAGGCCTGAGTTCGCTGACACATGGTAGCTGGGTGACCCTGCCTTCAGACCCCACTTCAGATACTCAACTCCACCCCTTCTGTAAAAGGAAAGTGTGTGTGTGTGGGTCGGGGGGCAAACATGGACCAGACCGCCTCTGGGTTTCCTTCTGGCTCTGCCTCTGTGACCCTATGGGCTCAGTCACTTTCCCTCTCCAGGACTTCTGCACTAAATGTCCTCACGGCTCATTTCAAGCTCTAGCCAGCCCTACGCTCCCATGGCATGGACCTCCACAGAACTGAGGAAAACTCAGGTCAGATGGCAGGCGCTGTGACACTGAAGAACCAACCAGCACCTCCATTCAGAGATACAAGGGGAAAGAGAATGGCACCAGCCCGAGGCCTCCCCCTGGGAAAGGGGAAGAGAGCTGCGAGGTGGCTGCAGGGACTCCTGGTCATCCCCCGCCCCCACCTCCCCACCCCAGGCCTCCCACACAGATCGCTACCCAGGCAGTGTTACCTTGTGTGATTGAGCCCCGGTTGTGGTGCTGCTCCTTCAGGTGGTGGGGGCTGTGTCGGTCGGGCGGGATCGCTCGGCCCATGAGACCTAGGGAGGTGGCAGAAGTGTGGTTAGGTGGGCACCTGATACTGGAAGAAGGGTGGCTTCTGACCCCCCGGGGATAAGTGGACTAACAGGGTGAGTGGAGTACAGCATTTAGAGGCAGGACACCTGTGTTCAGGCCTCCATCACTGACCAGATGTAGAATCATTCATAAGCTGCTTAACTTTTCAGACCTTTAACCTTTCTCTCTCCAAAACTATTAAGTTGCAGAGCAAGTGGTGATCTACACCTGGCAGAGGACACTTCCTCACTGGCAGCTGCTTATACCAATGAAATCACAGGTGCCAACCAAAATACACACACATGCCTACCAACCTCACACAGGTGTTGTGAGCAAGACATCTGATTCCTCAAAGTGCTACATAAATGTGAGTTAGGGTTCTGGGCATTACTATGCTACTACTTTTTAAAAACTACATCTGTGATTTCCATGGAAAAGGCAATTCCCAGGTGAGGAAAAGCCCACCACAAATGAGTAGCGGCACTTGTCAGCCTCTTAAAGTCTTAGAGCAGTAGACAGAGTACAGACCTGGAATCTGGATGACCTGAGTTCAAATCCAGCATCAGACACTTGGTAGCTGTGTGACCCTGGGCAAGTCACTTAGCTTCTGTCTGCCTCAGTCTCCTCAACTATAAAATAAGGATAATAAAAACACCTACCTCCTAGGGTTGTTATGAGGATCACATAAGCTAATATTTGTGAAGTGTTTTGCAAACCTTAAAGTGTTACATAAATGTTGCTACTATTACTATAATAATACTAACAATAATGATGATGATGATGATTGAGTTGCATATTGAGCACACTTCAAGGTTAAGTGACTTCTCTACAATCACACTGCTAGTGTGTGTGTGTTAGATTCAGGATTTGAACTCAGGTTCCCTGACTCTGAGGCCAGCTCTCTGTCCTCTATGCCCCACTACTTTGCTGTTACTGTTATCACCACCACCACCACCACCACCACCAACACCCTCACCACCATCACCATCACCACTACCGTCATCATCACCATCATCACTATCACCACCACCAACACGATCACCATCATCACCACCACCACCCATCATCATCATCATCAACATCATCAATGTTATTCCTATAAGCATCAGAGTTGTCAAAGGAACCATGGGCTTGGACCCAGAAGACTCACCTCTGGCCCTCATTTAACTATTTCTTGCCTCAGTTTCTCCATATGGAAAGTGGGTTTAATAATGCCCTAACTTACAGGACTGCCGTAAGGCCAATACGTGGTAAAACGTCAAGGACTAGTACAGGGATTCTTAACCTGGGGTCCACAGATTTCAGGGGTCCATGAACTTGGATGGGAAAAATACATTTGTATTTCATTCTACCCAGTTTCCTTAGTCATTCTCTGTATTTTCTTTGGGACCTTTAAAAGCAGAATGCTGAGGAGGGGTCCCCAGACCTCCTGCCAGAGGGGCCCATGACACGGAAAGGTGAAGAACCCTCGGTCAGTGGCGTCCCACTGCAGGCCTGATTCAGAAAACCACAAAGGAGCACTAGCTTCGCTGCACTGCATCTGTGTTTATTTTACATTTCCCAGTTACATCTGAATCTGGTTTCTGCGGTGTCGCGTCTGACTTCTCTGCCCTAAGCTACTATAACAGAAGCTCCCGGAGAGCAGACCCTGTGTCCTGTGCCTAGAGCCATGCAAGAAATGCTTTTGATTGAGTGATTGACCACGAGGCAAGGGATCCTCACGGGATCGATCAATAAAACAACAAGCATTTATTAATCACCTACTATATGCCAGGGACTGGTGACAGAGTGGCCCTTGCCCTCTGGGTCATAGGTGGGCAGCTTCTGACTCACCCGAAGGCTAGGTGGGGGACAGGGCACTGGGCTGGGAGCCAGGTCAGCTGGCTTCTAATCTGCCTTACATACTGACCGTGGGACCCCCGTGAGTCACTTCGTCTCTCTGTGCCTCAGTTTCCTCATCTCTATGACAAGGGGAGTGGACTTGACCTCCAGCGCTACACTGGCCCTACGACCTTACACTGGTGGCACGAGCACAAGGAATGTGCTAGACTCGAGAGTCAGGAATGCTGGGTTCAAACCCGACCTCAGACATTGACCAGCTCTGTGTCCCTGGGCAGGTCACTTAGCTTCTGTCTGCCTTGATGTCCTTCAGTGGAGATGATAACTGCACCTATCTCAGGAGGTTATTTTTTTAAGGACTAAAAGAAACCTGTTTGAAATGCTTTCCAAACCTAAAGTGCTTTGAGAACGTCAGCTATTAGACGAACAACACTGAGAGTGATTAGGACCATCATCACCATCCTGTGTGGCCCCAGAGCTCAAGGGGCTGTGCTCCTGCTGCCTCAGCATCCTCCGCAGTGCTGAGCTCAGAGGTGCCCACAGAACGACGCGGGGAGCGGTGGGAAGGGGAGCAAGGAAGGGCCTGCGCCCGGCGCCGCGGCCTGGCCACTGGGGAAGCGCCCACCCACCTTCGATGCTGGTGGAGAGGTCACGACTCGACAGCCCCCGGCCGATGCGCCCCTCCATCATGTCGTAGGTGCGCTTGGAGGCTGATGTCTCGTGGGTCGCGCCCGAGCTGGTTCTCCCATCCTCCTTGGAGCACGGAGACACAGACATCACGCCTATGAAGCCAAACACACATCCATTGGGCTGGTGAGAGCCAGCTGTGGATGGCAGCCAGGGGCCTCAGAGCTCTCTCTGCCCCGGGGCTCACTGGCCCCGTCTGCCTGGCGGGCCAACCTCTCGTGGCTAGGGGGTGAGCTTGGCACACCAACGCCCTCCTGACCCTCCGGCCTGGGCGCCGCCGCTCACCTTAGGTGCCAAAGTGCCTTGTTTGTACAAAGGTCTCCACTCCCCTGGGCGACTAGACATGCTCCCCCAAATCCACCCACTGTCTGTGGTTGGGCTCTGGATCCTCACGGATCCACTGAGTTACAGACACCAGGCGTATGCTGCTGGGTTTTTCCGGGCGTGTTCCCCCCACCTCCTTGCCCTGCCTTTTGGAGTCATTTACTTTGGGTGATTTCCACGAATGGGAAATGGAGAAAATTTCCTTCCACTCTGGCCTAACTAGGTCAGTATGTCTGGGTGCATGTGTGTAAACAGGACCATGTGTACATGTATGAGTTCAGGAGACCATGAGAGCATGCCAACACAGGGGAGCCCAGTCCAGGGATGGGGGAAATAAATGAGCAGCTCAGGCAGAAGGACCCTGGGGCCAGCCGCCCACTGGTCAAGCTGCTGGGGCAGGAAAGACTGACCACAACTAGACAGAAACAGCAGAGACCCAGCCCTAACAGTGCTGGAGACCTCGGGCCTCAGTTTCCTCATCTGTAAAACGACTAGGTTGAGCCTAACGGCCAAGCTGCTAAGGTCCCTCCAGGTCCAGGGCCATGGTGCTACAACTTCATGAATCCTGCAGTTCTCTAATCAACCCTCTGACCCTTTGGCAGGACAGCCTGGTGGTCAAGCAGGGTCGGGGGTCACGTTCTCAACTCAGCCCCCACCTACCCCTGGAAGAGCTGAGCTGCCTCGACCGACAGGAGATGCCTGGAGAGGGGACCATTCTTGTTTGCTTGTTTTTGGCTAGGCAATGGAGTTAAGAGACTTGCCCAGGGTCACACAGCTAGTTAATTGTCAAGTGTCTGAAGCCGGATTTGAACTCAGGTCCTCCTGGCTCCAGGGCCCATGCTCTATCCATTGCACCACCTAGCTGTCCCAAGGGGACCATCCTTGCACCCTATCAGCTATAACAGCCCGAGGCGTGGCAGGAATGTCCCCTCATGATCTCCTGTTCCTGGAGAGGAGAGTGTCAGAGTGGGACAAAGCCTGGGAAAGGCCATGGAAGGGGGAAGGGGAGTCTGGCAAAGGAGCACAGACCTCACGACACCACCTCCCTCCCCGGGGCCTCTGCAAGAGGAGACTAGAAAATTCATCTTCCGTGTACGTGTGCCCGCTCGCCAGGCGGGGCTCACGAAGCCTCCTCTTGCCAAGGCCCGGGCACCTTCAAGAACATTCGCTCTGGCTGGAGCTCCCAACAGGGCCCTCTAACCCATTCCCTCCTGGGCTTGGCCGAGGGGCCCCCGGGTCCAAGGGAGGCAGTGCAGGGGTAGTAACGTGGATATCGAAGAGCTAGTTTTAATGTCACAGGTTACAGATCCCAATCGTGACCTCCCGGAGAGCACCTGGACAATATGGGGTCCGGGCGAGTCACTCACCCTCAGGGCTTCTCACTGGACAGATGGATTCTCTCCATCACAGGCCTCTCTCCCTCAGGAGACTCGGCAATGGCCCAGGGGTCAGAGGGCTGGACGTGTGGGCAAGGAAGACTTGGATCTGCAACCTGCCTCAGACACTGATTGTGTGACCCTGGGCAAGTCACTTCACTTCAAGTTTGTAAAATGGAGCCAACAATAAGATGGGGTTACTGTAAGGATCATATAAGATAATTTCTGGAAAGCACTTTACAAACTTTAAAGTACTATACAACTTCCAAGTATTATTGTTATCATTAATAATAATAATGATGATGATAATGATAATAAAAATATTCATTTCTCCTCCTCCCAGCAGGATGTAAACTCCCTGAGGTTTTCTGTTTTTTTCTCATTTTGTATCTGTGTTCCTAGCACAAGCTGGTGCTTAATGAAGCCTTCTTGGACTGGCCTGGATCCAGCTAAATCAGTGGCAGATCTGGGTGAAGGCCCCTCTCTCCAGCCTCCCAACCACTGGTCACTAATTAGCAACGCCCTCTTCTCTTCATAGGAGCGACTTTGGTTTAGCCTTTGCCTACATGCTCAGATTCTCCCATTCTGACTAATACAGGAAAGAGAGAGGAAATGTCCTCATTCATGACCCAAGACTCCCACAGGTCAGAGAATCTGGCCTCTGGCTTGGCGATGGGCCACTGGACGCCCAGGCTGCAGCCTTTTAAATCCTCTAATTCTTGTGCCCTGGAGCTTGGGATGAGAGCAAGCCCTTGCCTGGGGAAAAGTCTCAAAGCTGTCTCTCAGACACAGGCCCAGGACAGGAGGGGTGGGTACTGCAGGGCCCAACGAAGCCTGTCCTGAGCATTGAGCTTTACTGGAAATCTGTCCAGTTATAGGAGACACATAAGGAAAGGAAGAAGGCCTGGAAACACTAACAACAAAAACCAAACCACCAAACTGAACTGAATTCTAAAGGTTAAGCCTGGCCTAGAAGAGATGAGAAAACACATCACTGTCTTTGCAGAAGTAGGGGACGATGGCTAAGGAAAACTGTATATATTGTCAGACTAGGGAGATGTGTTAAGTTTTTCCTTCTTTCTTTTAAATTTGAATAAGATGAGATAAGTAGAAGAGGAGGGAAGGATAAAATGAAGGTGATACCAAAGAAGAGTATCAATTTTTTAAAAAGACAGGTATAGAAAAACAAACCAACCAAACCAGCTATTCACTGACCTAATAGTTGGAAAGTAAGAGAGACCTGGTCAAGAATCCCTCTTCAGAGACAGGAAGGGCTAGAAACATTCTTTGGAGAAAAAAACAAAAATAAACCAAAAAATCCCCAACTTCTCCCCCTTCCAGTGTGTAATAGTCATAGGTCTTTAACTAAGTGCTAAAAGACCTTCAGACAAGGATGACAGCATCAATGAATCAATCAGCATTTATTAAGCGAGTGTCTTCCCATCAGCGTCCTAGCATTCTCCCTCACAGGCCCACCTCCCCCTGCCCTAGCAGAGCAGGACAGGAGTCAACGTCTGTATAGGGAGGAAAGGGCAGACATGACTTCAAAGAACCCCACCCCCCACGGGCCCCTGGGAGTTTTGTTTTCCTGAGGCCTACTGCTGCCCTGGGTGACCAGAGCTCACTAGAAGCCACCCACACATTTGAGGACAATGGTGCTTTCTCTGCTGACGAGAACTCGGTTGGCATCTCCTGACCCCGGGCCCAGAAACAAGCCTGCCAGGCCCCACTGACCTGCTGGCACTGGGAGGGATGGCAGGGAGGTTCCATGATTGGGAGAAAAGGATTTCCAGCAGCCGGGAGCTGGGAGCCAGGAGCTAGTGGCTCGCCACACGTGCTCTGTAAGCTTGAGCCCACTAACCCCGGACTGTGTCTGTGAAAGATGAGCCCACAGACATCTTGGGCGATGTTCTGTTCTTACTGCACGTACAGCAGCTACATCAGGCTGGCTGCACGCCAGTGGGGGCTCAAGCCTAAGGCATTAGAGGATTACCCCTCACTCCTCAAGGTCATCTGTCATCCCCAGAATCCTGAGGGGGGAGATGTAGCCAAGCTCTGGGGACCTAACTTGTCAGAGAGAGTGGGAACCAGGACAAGGATCTTCAGAGCCTGCACAGGCAATACCTCCCTGAACTCCACCCCAGCTCCAGACTTACCTGTGTTTCTGGTTGCTATTTTCCCTTCCAAGCCTGGCCGGCCTGCCTGCCTATCTTGCCTTATGATACTTTTATGAGCAAGCCCAGTTTTCCATATTCTAGTTCTACGTTCTTGAGCAAAGGACAGAGAACTGTACAGGAATGTATGCATGTGGATTCCTGCCCCTGCCCCCACCTCCCATTCTTTGCCACCTTCCAAATGGCCTGTGTCTATTCTGGGAAGAAACCTTGGAAGGGAGGCCGAGCTCCTGGCCCCACGCTGCTCACAGCCCCAAGCCCTCCGGCTCACCGTCATAGGAAAGGACGTGCCCCTTCTTCCCTTCGTAGATGACGTGTCCTTTGGGCAAGCCGTCCTCTCGGCCTTTGTCCACTCGGCTAGGGCTGTCTTCTCCGATGATCCTGGTGATGGTTCCTTTGTAGAGGACATCAGCCGGAGTGCCCTAAGAGAAGCAGGCGGAGGGAGATCACCACCTGGCCCCGCGCCCTTGTGGGCGCGTGCGCGCGCGCACACACACACACACACACACACACACACACACACACACACACGAGGCAGCAAGTGGGAGAGGGAGCTGGGGCATAGCCCAGGCCGGGAGACCGCCAGGTACAAGACAGTCCACTGGAGCCCAGATCCACAATAACAGAGATGTTTCTAGACATGAGGCATATACACCAGGCACCCCGATGGACCAAAACTAAGACCAGAGGAAGGGAGGCACCTGGTACAGTGGGAAGGGGGATCCAGAACATCTGGATTCCAGTCCTGGCTCTTTCATATGTTACCTGCCTCACATGCAAAATGAGGACAGATTGATTAGATGGCCTCTAGCTGAGGTCCTTTCCAGCTCAAGATGCATGATTTTATGCTACTAGGTGAGGGGATAGAGACCTTCAACACTGGGCTCAATGTCAGAACGACCTGAGTTCGAATTCTGCCTCAGACTAGTTGAGTGACCTATGACAAGCTACTTCACTAAGCTCCCTCATCCCTGGCGTCCTTGTCTCCAAGGATGAGGGGGCTGGACGCTCCTCTCCTTGTCGACCCCTTGGACAGCACCCACAGGTGAGGATGTAGACGTGAAAGGGAGGCAGTGTCTAGCTCCCACCACAGAATCAGCGACCTACAGCATTTCCCCTTGGACCACATCAGACCCACAGACTCAGAACTCTGGCCTCAGATGGGAAGAATGTGCCTGCGTGCCCGGCCCCCCTGGATCAGCTCTGAGTTCATTAAAGTAAACTCTTCTCCCCACAGACTTACATGGGCCTAGAGAGGAAGGCCAAACATTGCCGCTCCCAGCCCCTTTCCCTGCCACGGGCTCCTGGGAGTTTTGTTTTCCTGAGGCCTGCTGCTGCCTTGGGTGACCAGAGCTCACTAGAAGCCACCCACACATTTGAGGACAATGGTGCTTTCTCTGCTGACGAGAACTCGGTTGGCATCTCCCAGCCCCTGGGCCCAGAGACAAGCCTGCTAGGCCCCACTGACCTGCTGGCACTGGGAGGGATGGCTGAGCGCTAGCCCCTGGGCCTGAAGCCAGACACAGCAAGTCGTGCCCAGTTCAGGCCACTGCCAGAGGCCTGGGTTCTTAAGTCACTATATTCAAACCCGAGCCGGCCATAAAAGCCAGAACTTTTAGTAAGGGTATAACGAGTCCCAGGGATATCACCCTGGAAGTTCAGTGGAGTGATTTTCTTAGGGTAATCCTGTGGGGTGGGGACAGCAGGGATGGTTTGCCCACAGGTAGGAAGTTAGAGGCGTAATCTGAACCCAGCTCTTCCTGATTTGGTCCATCCTGCTGTCCTGAGGTCCTCTTTGTGTTCCTTTCTCAACTTCTGCTTTCTTCTGTCAATTTTTAAAATGTTTACTGATGCTCTTTTCTTTCTTTTCTAGCCTCCCCTCACCCCCCTTTCATTATAGTCACGCCTCAAGCTTGAAATTCAGTCATTAGAAATTCATTCCAGGGGCAGCTAGGTGGTGCAGTGGATAGCTCAGGCCTTGGAGTCCGGAGGACCTGAGTTCAAATCTAACCTCAGACACTTGACACTTACTAGCTGTGTGACCCTGGGCAAGTTACTTAACCCTGACTGCCTCACCAAAAAGAAAAAAAAAAAAAAAAGAAATTCATTCTTCTGACCTATTCTCAACAGAATGTTAACCAGGTTCATTCCCAAAGATAAAACTCATCCCCACTGAGATGAACAGCTTACTTTATTACAACTAACAGAGATGTAAATCTGAAAAAGGGTAACAGTTATAAGTCATTCCCACCTCAGTGTGAATGAATTCACCAGCCAGGACACCTCTGGCTGTGTCCTGAAAGGACCACTGGACTCTGTAGTTGGAGGACATTCTGGCTCTCACTGCCTGCTACCTCTGCCGACCTTGGGTATGTCACAACAGTTCTCTAGGTTGGCTTCCCTCCCGCTCAGATGACCAAGCTCTGCCTAGGGTGGGGTGACCAAGGCTCTGCCCCAGGGATCCCCCGATTTAGAGGCCGCTGACAGCGCTTGCATTCCCTTGGCAGTAGGAATACAGACCTCAGCCCCTGGTTAGCCAGAATCATTACAACAGGAAGCTGCCAGATGCAGTGCCTTCCCCCTTCCCCTCATACATCAGGTGGGCTCCCCAGCCTGCCCATTCCCCCCACCCCTGCAGTTTCCACAGGCATACAAATTGTGAGTTACAGCCCTGGGACCAGACGCTCTCAAGGGCCCTTCCAGAACAAAATCTACGGCATTCTAACGTCTTCCTTCCTAACAAGAGGAACTTGGTCAGCATTTTTCTGAGAAAAGGCCAGAGAGCGCCAGGGTTAAGCCTTTCATTCTCAATAAATGCTCTCCCAGGAAGATAACCTAACCTGTTATCTTCAGGGTCATGCTAATTAAGAGGCAGGAAAGAGAAGGATGAAAGCCCCTAGGCCTCCCTCTCTACCCAGAGGGTTCTGAGACATTCAGCCACAACACCCAGATCTATCGGGGTGCCTGGGGTGACCTTGACAGGGGAGGTGGACCAGCACACAAGGACAGTCTTCACTTTTAAAAGGTCTGGGGCTGAGTCAACTGCCGCTTCTGGGCAGAGGTCCAAGAGGAAATGATCACAGTGACCCGGATCATTGTGGGGAAGGGGAGGGAAGGGCGGGAAAGAGCACCCTGGGGGCTGATGGAAGGCTCTGCCCGGCTCTCTGTAGCAGCGCTGGCTCTCAGAGAACCGACCCTACTCCGCCTCCTTGTGTGGTCAGTGGTCTCTGGGGCACTGGACAAGGCAAGGCAGATTATGCTATTAGGAAATCCAGTTCAACAACCATTTATCAAACAGCTCTGCGCTAAGTGCTGGGGAAATACATAATTTAAGCACTGGGCCCCATGGAGTGGTTTTCTCCTGCTTCTGACACTACCTGCATGCTCACCTGGGCCTCAGTTCCCTCATCTGCAGAATGAGAGGGCTGGACTACACAGCTGCCCCAAGGACCCTAGTGACCCTAGGAACTACATCAGTGCGCCATTGGGCAAATCACTTGAACGCCCCCGGGCCTGTGCTCCAGGTGCTGAGACCCGGTACTCCTCTATATGGGGCCATCTCCCCCGGCTTCCTACACTACTAAGGCCTGCCCCACTGAGACTGCTGAGGCCTACCCACCCCTGAGCCCCAGCTCTGCCTCCTAACGTCCCTGGAATCCCTTCCTGGTAAAAGATCCCTCCAGTTTCCAGAGGAGGAAACCAAATCTCAGAAAGGGAAAATTACTTGCCCAGTGTCACAAAGCAAATTACCAGGACTTGAACTCAGGTCTCCAAGGAATTGCTGAATAGGATGGGAGCCTGTGTTAGGTCCCAGAGGTCCCGTTAAGCCCTGAGATTAGCCAGAGTGGGCTGGGGCCACCCTGCACGTCTGCCAGGCAGCTCAGCAGCCATGGAAATTCAGAGGGTGAGAAGACCTTCTTTATCTCCCGAGACCCTGGGCAGGTCCTGCCTCCCTTTCTGGTGATGCCCTGACTGAGGTGGGTGGGGCACCAACAAGTGCCAGGTTTTGGAGTCGGGTGATCCTGCCTAGAGGCCCCCGGGCCAAGCATGACTTCCTTGGGCCTCGGTTTCCCAATCTGTAATGGAAACAAGCTATACTAGTCAGCCTCTGGTGTCCCTCTCTGCTCTAAAATCTATCATTGTCTTATCTACAGTCTGAATGGCAGAGAGAAGGAAGGTGACGATGGAGACCAAGGACAGAGGCCATCATTCTCTGCTTCTTAACTGGGGGGGATGGAGAGAAAAGATGGCAGCACCCTCCAAAATTCCTTTCTATTTACTTAGGATCGGAGCCCGTCTAACCGCAAAAGTAGACAACTTGTGATATATCTATTAAACATACATATCAAGAGGTAAACTATACAGAAGATTAAAAGATATTTCGCCACAAGGTCAGCGAAACTGGGGGATAGAAAGCCAAAAACTTACATGGTTGTATTTGGTCACAGAGTTAGAAGTGGGTAAGTGATATCTTTTAAAAAATTACAGAACATTTAGTTGAGGAAAAATTCATGATGAAATGAAATTTATCCTTCTGTAATAAAAAATTAAAAATTCAGGTTTTTGCTGACTCGATTTATAACACAATATAGATTGAAACTCTTCCTTTGGCAGCATCAGGAGAGTTGGCAAGAAGCATCACCAAAGTCTTTTGGGACCTTCTAGTAATACAAGCAAATTTTTTCCCCTTAAAACAAAAAAATAAGAAAAAGATCCATTTGTCAAATAAGGCAGATGCTGCCTCTTCTCACCAGGCTACCCATTCCAGGGAAGAAAAAAGGGGATTTCCCTTTAGGCCAAGAAACTATTCTCAAATATCTTAGTTTCTTGCCTCATAGGACCTACTTCTTGATACAGTCTCTAACATGACATCGAAAGGGCTTAACAGTCACTCTTCCAGAGTTTAATTGTTTTGTCATTTTCTAATGCGGCTGATGCAATGATGTTTTCTGTAGGGTGACAAGCTGTTGAAATCACAACATCTGTATGGCCTTGTAATTTCTGTACGATCTCTTTTGTCTGAAGGTTCCAAATGTAAACCAGGTTATCTTCTGACCCAGACACAATCCACTTTCCACCAGTGACCGAAAAATTAGCGAAAATGCAGTATTTCTCATTCTTGTGACCAGTGTACCTTGTGACCTCATCTTTACAGATGAGGAAACTGAGGCAAACAGAAATTAAGTGACTTGCCCAGGGTCACACAGCTAGGAAGTGTCTGAGGCTGGATTTGAACTCAGGTCTTCCTGACTCCAGGCCTAGTGCGCCTCGCACTATGGCGCCACCTAGCTGCCCACATGGACACATACACACACACACACACATATATAAACAGGGCAGGCTGGAAGAGGACCACCCACAGTGGAGGGCCCTTCCCCGCTCCAAGCCCTGGGACCCTCCCTCCTGTCCCCGGCTCCCAGTGGGCGGGTCGGCGCTCGCTTACATGCGTGATGGAGCCTCGGTAGGTGATGGGGCTTTCCGAGGGTGGCCGGCTGGGGATGCCTTTGGTGATGCTTCCTCCCGGAGCAGAGCCCAGGCTGGCTCCTACAAAACGTGACATCCTCAGGGGGTGGGGTGGGCAGCCCCGGCCGGGCAGGGTGGGCACACTTCTCTGCCTGCCCCACCCCCACCCGTAGAGGAAAAGGTCACGGCCAAAGGCGCTGGGCTTCACTGACCCTTCCAAGGCCCTCTGCAGTTTGGATTTCTCAGGAAGCCATCCCCAATTACTACTGTAATGATTTTTAATAAATCTAATAATAATGATACTGCTTTTATTTACTGACATATTATAAAATTAATTATATCATCAATTTTCATAGCTACCCGATGTATATAAAATACTTCAGAGCTGACCAGCCCTTTCCTCTTGAGGGGAGCTATTTCAGGCGTTATTATTATCTCTACTTTAAAGATGAGGAAACTGAGGCTCACAAGTCCAGGGCAGCACGGTGCAGTAGAAAGAGACTCGGAGTCTGGAGAGACTGGGGCCAGTCTTACTCCTGATGCCTATTAACTGTGCGCCCAAACTCTGCCAGACGCAGTCTCTCCATCTGTGAAATGGGTCTAGCACCTGCAGGGCTGACAAGGCCCAAGGGAGATGCTGGTTGTGGCCTGCATTGTTCAGCCTACTTTTTATCACTTATGAATAGCCAGGATGGGGAGGGGCTGGACAAGAGCGCCCCCGAGGAGGGCTCTGTGGGCAGGATCACTTCAGATGGGCCCTCCCCCGGGAGCATCTACAAAGCGTTCTAGACCAAGACAGAGCCTGCCCAGAGGGAGGCCGGAGCTGACCCGTGCTTAACGTTTCCCAAGCGGGGAGGAAACACAAAAGCCTTTGGCCCCTGGCCCTCCTCTAAGGAAAAGCAAGGGAACTTGGGAGAAACGACCTCACATGTGGCGATATGGACTACGTGAGCCAGGGGGTGGGCCCTGCTGTTCCTATTTGACAGATGGAAAAGTAGAGGCCCAGAGAGAGGAACAGCAGATCAGAGACTGAGGAGTCCCTGTCTAGATGCATGACAAAGAACGCTGGATTAAGACTCAGAGGGCTTGGGTTCAAAATCCCCATGTGACCTTCTGGAGGCCTCAGTTTCCTCATCTGTAAAATGGCCTCGAAGGGCCCCTTCCAGTTTGCAGCGCAATGATTCTATGACCAGAGGGCCATGGGACATCCCCCACCTCTCCTGTGATGCCTAGCACTGGGGATCTCTCTCCCCCCGGGGACTCACCTCTCAGCACTGATGTGTCCTGGGTCGCCGGCATCACCAGGGTCTCGGGCTGGCCGGCCTGGCTCCTCGGGGACAGCTGTTCCTGCTTCACTCCAGGGAAAGGCACTGCAAAGAGAGGGGTGTAACTGGGGGGCATTCCCGGGGCTGCACGGGCTTCTCTTTCCCCTCATCTCGCTCTTTCTTTCTCTCTTGTTCCGGAGCTAAGAGGCAGAGCTGCAAGAAGGAAGCTGGGGACCCCCGAGGGCGGGCCAGTGTGCAGGTTGCAGGACACCAGGGCAGAAGGGGGACATGGCCCGCCGGCCTCAGCTGCCCCTCACCCTGCTCCGGCACCCCGATTCCCTGCCCGGAGGCCCCCTTCTCCACATCGCTTGTCGGGGGAGGGTCTCTACTGGGGATGGGCCAACTGCTCCTTTGGGGGAGGTAACGGGCGGGCACTGGCTCCCTACCAGAGGGCGCTGGGGCCCATGCCCAAAGCCAGTTTAACCTCCAACCCGAGGCCCTGGTGGAGGCGGGCAGCGCTGCGCTCGGAGCCAGGACAGTGGTCCAGCTGGAGGGGGCGGGACCCTGGAGGAGCGCATCCTCAGAAGTGGCTTCCTAGGCCCTCCCAGCCCCTCAGCACCTGGCACAGCCCATGACCGGGTCCCCTGCTGGGAGGAGGAAGGAGGTCGTGTGAACGCACGGGGTCACGCTTCAGATGAAAGGAGAGCCCTGAAATCTGGCAACGGTTCCCGGATGGTGTTTCGTCCCCTGCGCCTCCCAATTTGCCTGAACATGGACTTCCAGGTCAGACCCCGTGGCAAATGCGTCAGGGGAGGGAAATGCCGCCTGGCATTATGCCTGGGCCTCCTCCCCACCCCTGCCCCAAAGGGGAGTGCTCCCCACTGTGCAGAGTCAGCACAGCCACCTGCTGGGGAGGGGGACAGCACAGCCTGGGGGACCTCCGAGGCCCCTGTCCGACCCCTCCAAGCCAGGCAGGGATCCCCAGCACTTACCCAGTTTTTTTGGGTCCATGGTCAGCGGCAGACCCATTGTGATGGAGCCCACGGGAGCTTTGGCGTGCTCAGAATAGGGGGCGTGCAGCTGGATCGGTACACCCTGTGACAAAGAAGGAGAAAGACGGTCCTCACGCCCAGGCAGAGGCTCACCCGGGGCCCTCCACATCCACAATGGCCCTGGGCCAAGGCACTGTGCAGCCATGCGTGGACGGCATGATGATGCCCATTTCACGGGCAAGTAAACTGAGGGCTTATGGATCTGCCTGGATGGGCGGGGCACGTGAAGTAGAGGGTAGGCTCATCGCTAGGAGGACGTCCGTCCAGAGCCACCAGGGCATGGGGGCGGCCGGTCCAGTTTCACCCGGGTCCCTGACAACGGGGATCTCTGCTGAGCCTGCAGAGTTTACCTCTCATTTCTTCAAAGGCCCCAACGGGAAGGGGGATGTGGGGGGCCGGGGCCCTGTGATGGCCCTCGGACATCCCGGTGACACGGTCTCCCTCAGCATTTCCAGGGGCCAGCTGCCAGCCCTGGCCCCGTCTCCCACGGACACAAAGGTCCTCTGTTCCCGTTTCCAGGGTGACTGTCCCTGGGCGGGAGGACCGGGCGCTGACACTGGTTGCTATTTTTACCCCATGTGAATGCCCCCTCCCAGTCCCCAGCCCCCCACCGCACCCGATCTCATTTCCTCTGGGATCCCTGGCTTCTCAGCCGTCTGCTGGCACCAGCCCAGCCCTGGTATTGTCTTGAACGGAATGAGGCCTGGTCCAAAGTCCCCTCCCTGCCCTGCCCTGCATAGTCCCAGCCCGGAGAATCCTGGGACTGACTGTGACCCATCCAGACCTTCAGACCACGATTCCCACCCATCACTCAGAACATGCTGCTCCAGTTTCCCTGGGTTCGGTCTCTGAGAGTGAAAGGCTGGGGAAGCGGGGAGGATGTGGGGGCTGGGCGGGGAGCAGCAAGGCCACTCCCTTCCTAGGCACCCTGCTCCACACCCGCCTCCTCTTACGGTGGGGGCTGCGGCTCAAGCCCCTCGTTTTACAGATGAGAAAACAAGCTCAGAGAGGGAGAGGCGCTCGCCCAAGGTCAAACAGCTGAGCCAAGAGGCAGAGCTGAGGTGTGCACTCAGACACTCTGGCCCCGCAGATCTGCCCGAAGGCAGCCAGCGGGGGTAGTGGAAAGGATGCTGGGTGGAGTCAGGAAGACCCGAGTTCAAATCCTGCATCTGACACTACCAGCTGTGTGACCCTGGGCAAGTCACTTCCCCACTGCCTGCCTCAGTTTCCCCATCTGCAAAATGGAGGATATTAACAGCCCCTGCCTCTCAGGGTTGTTGTGAGGATCGTGTGGGATAACACATGTGTAAAGCGCTTTGCCCCATCTTACAGTGAATGCAAACTTCTATCTTTTCATCATCCTGACTGTTGCTGGAGATGTCTCTCTATGCAGGCCAGGGTCTGCCTAGACACCTTAGGCCGTCCTTCAGTGGGCACGAAAGGAAGATGCTGAAATTTTCCAACGGACTTGGCCCTTCCTGACCTTAGAACAGGGTCACCGATGCTTTCTGTCTCTCCCATGACCCATTCCCATAAGCTGTGTCAACTCCCTCCAAAAAAGAGACAGTGAGAGAGACACAGAGAGAGAAGAGGAAAGGAGAGGAGAGGAGAGGGAGAGAAGGAGGGGAGAAAGGAGAGAGAGACAGAGAGAGAAAGAGGAAGAGAGAGAAGGAGGAAGAGAGAGAGAAACACAGAAAACGAAAGGAGAGAGGAGAGAAAGAGACACAAAGAGAAGAGGAGAGGAGAGAGAAGGAAGGGAGAGAGAGAGAGGAGGAAGAGAGAGAGAGAGAGCGAGAAGGGAGAGG